CAGCATGTGCGGAAACCTGCCGCTGCCATTATACTCAAGTATTTACCTGCTAGGGTCAGTTGTATCCCCATCTCTCACTCTCTTTATGATGTGTGCAAACCAACAACATGTCACACACCTTGACACAGTTTCACACTGGTTTTCTGTCAAAAATGTAAATTTTCCCAAAATCAGACTCTACTGCAACCTGCTTCCTAAACCCTTGCCATAAAAACAAACAAAAAATGTACAATTTGTGTAGAGATCGGCGTGTGCTGAGGCAATCTCGTTGGCCACATCTGCGATGGAGATTTCCTCCCATGTAACACATTGCCTTGGTACAAGACCCCACCTGCACTGCCACTAAGTATGAGCAAGCCGGGCTGGCCGTCAGCCTTTTGTTAAAGGGCCCGCTTCGATCCTGGATAGAGTCTTCAACGTACTGCAGTCTTGGCAACTGCGTCCTATTGTAACTGGCCTCTGATCGGAGAAATCACCCAATTAACTTGAAAAGATACTGGTAGTGATAAATGCTGTCTGTAATTCAGCCAAATCGGGGGTGTCGACAAGAAGTGTGTTGCCAATGCTATGTTTTCGCCGATGCTGGTATGACGGGATGCTTACGAGGATGAGGGAGACACCAGAGTGAGGCTGTGTCAGTCAATCAGCTGTTGTTGGGCTGTGTCAGAGCCAGCACTTACATTGTGCTGTAGCTATCGGTCGCATGTCCGTCTGTGTGTCTGTGTCACGCTTCGTCGCTCCAATCCTCCACACCTGACCAGCACTGCTTAGTGAGGAGTCCCAGCTGATGCTGGTGCGAGCCTACTTGCCAGGTTGGTACAGGCAATCTGTGATTGTTCCAGTGAGGCCTGGTAGCAAGGCTGGAATGAGGAAGTGATTGGCTGCCTCTGGGTCATTCAGTCACCGTTCGCCTCGGCAGTCACATCTTTATCGCAAGCACTCCCATCTTTATCACCTAGTTGAAGCTCCAGTATTTCCCAGTAACCAGGCTACAGCAGGATTGCCATCCAACCTTCATATTCCATTGAATTTGGATCATCCTCATAGTGTTTGTAACATTTGTACAGTAGCAGACGCACAATAGCAGACGCAAATAGCAGACGCACACAAGCAGATGTATTGTACTGCTGCTGGCTGCTTGGCTCTTCCACGACACAATTGCTGGATATTTATTATACAAACAGATTAGTGAAATCAGCTATCTATTCCGGAGACAGTCGCCAGAGGATGCTATTCAGTCTGTTCCATTAATGAAAAGATTCGCTGGTGGAAGTGATGATTCTATGATTGAAATGTTGTGTGTCTGACGCAAAGCATCTGTCTCAGACTGGACTGTGTGCATCATTGTTGGGACACTAGTAACGTACTGGGATAGCCGTACAGGCTACTTGACTACTTGAATGATTATTTTTGGGATGCGAAAAGGTGAGACTTGGTCCTTTTTAAAATAATATTTGTAAACAACTAAGCTGAAGTGATTCTGAAACATTTTGTAATACATTAAATTATTGTCAGTGAGAATTACATTGAGTTGAAATCTCTTGTTGACAAAAATGATACATGGCTTAGGTTGAGGGTTAAGGGGCCCATCTGCCAAAGAACATAATGATTTAGTGAACCAGTTGTCAGATTGATTTAGCAACAACATAATACAATCCAGCTACCTCAGACCTGTTACTTGTAATTAACATGCAGTCGTGGTTTATGTTCAGAAATCATGTTTTACAGGCAGAATATTTCCTCTAAACAAGAGCATGTGGTTTCTGGCATCAATTTGCTCAGTGTCAGAGGGATCTAGTTCACCCAGAAAGAAATAACAAATATACATACCAGTGTCAGAAAATATTAGTGGGATAATGTGTGAGCTGGTTTCACTGCCAAACCTAGCAGAGCCTGCATATGTATGTACTACCTCTACCCCCTACCTTCTACCCACTACCCTCTACCCACTACCACATGTCCGCTGTGGGCGTGTTCACCTCCCTTCCTGGTGTGGGTGGAGGAGCTTTTTGTATCCCCATACTGTCAGTGTGGGTTGCCTTAACATTTAGAGAAAGGTCTTTTATGGGAGCTTCATTCAATTTGGTCAGGTTTTTGTTTTGAGAATTGTAATGTGTTGTTTCTGTTGTTTGTTTTGTTTAGTAAACTATTTATGGTAAACTGTATTTTAGTAATTGGGATATTATTCTTACAATTGATCTTGTTATCAATCTTTCATAATATTTTCCTGTCAACATTTATTGATCATATTATTTTAACAACTATTCTAGTGATTGGAAATCCGAATTTGAAACAAATCTAACTTAGTTTTATATAACTACATTGCACATGGGTGCCAGAATCCTTTGAATATGTAAAATATATATTTTACCTCTAGATATAGCTGTAGTAAAGAAACAGATATATAGTCCACTACATGTCAAGCGAAAACACTCACAAATATACTCATTACAAATATGAAGTTCTACCAAACAGGGGTGTAAAGCTGTTTTTAGATCTGATGTTTTTTCAGTTTGAACTGACATGTTACAGCAAGATCCAGTATGATAACAGTTTATGTAAAATGAAGAAAATATTTACAATTCATCTAATCACCAAGTAAGGGTTTAGAATAATATCCCCAAATCGTTGACACTATGGCCTGGCCATTAGTACTTCTGTTCCAATGTGTTCGGTGGCAAGCAAATCTGTTCAAATTAATGCCCTCATGCAAGGATTATGTCTGCTACATCAAAGCAACATTTGGGCTAATTATTGTCTCCAGAAGGTTATACTGAAAAAGGTTAAGTCTACGGGATAGGGGTATATAATGGCAGGAGCATGGCCCTTATAAAAGACAAATGTGCCCTAGGGCTGAGCTGGTTCTGTGGTAATTGATGTGATAATTAACAGGGAAGGAGGTGTGTCGTTTATAGCAATCTGCTGCATGTTTGCTCTGTTTCACAAGCAAGATCTACACCTTAATCTGGTTCTTATTATGTCTATAGCTCAACACTCAAATATAAGATTTAACACTGAGTTGTTAAAAGGATTTCAGGTTTCATTACAAATGAATTTAATCCTATAGTAGGTGTAACAGATTTTTGTTCAAATGTAAGAATTCAGGTTTCATTTGAAATGCTGAATATAATCCTATAGTAGGTGTAACAGATTTTTTTTCAAATGTACATGTAAATTGAATCTGGGTTAGTGTTTGAAATAGATGTTTTGTGATGTTGCACAGCATGTTCTTTAATAGTGGTGTGAAAGGTTTGGGAATTCAGAAGGTAGAACCTGGTAACTGTAACATGTTGACTGACTGAAATACAACACAGCAGGAATGCAACTGACATTTGTTATAAAAGTTCAAATATTGATTATTGTAGTCGACAATTTGGCCATTAACATGACTTTTATCACCGAGCCCAGTTGATATTCAGGGAATGCAACAAGGCGTAACAAGGCGTATTGTGTTCATTCAAGCACAATTACAATTGGCCCCACTTGTTTTACAAAGGGAAGTGTTTTAGGGCACTTAGCATTATAATGAGGTAGGAGCTCTATAACGAGGCTGGCTGGTGGGAGACTGGAGGCCAGCTGGCGATGGGCAGTGGTGGTCATCTGGTGGCTTAACAACAGACCCGTAACACATGTTCAGCTGTTAGTGCTGCTACATCATAACAAAGACCGGCAGCCACTGGTAGGCATTTCAGAGACAGCTCGCCATGGGAGTGGATGAACAGACTCAGAGTAGGAACATTTTCATGTACATTTCGGCAATTGTGATGTCAATTTCAAATTTATATCCAGCATCTTTTTATGGATATCTGACATTCATCGTTTGGGTTTATGATTTAGTTTAATTATTTTTTCAAATGATTTTGATGTACTGTCAGGAGTGGTGATGTATTTTATTGACTAGTGATTCCATCTATCTTTGCCTGGCAGTTTCAGTTTTACATTTGTTATTTGGTGCACAGAGCTTGATTCTTCAGAGTTTGATGTTTAATGTCCATAGCAGTTTTTTTAATTTGTGGTCTTGGTTGATGAATTTCTAGCATTCAAAATTTTCAGTGTTGAAGATTTGTGCGTTTGATTTTTTACATCAGTTTTAAAATTGGCCTCTTTCATCATGGCGTGTGTCAGTTTCGGATCTAAAGAATTTTTGACACTGGTAGTCGGTGTTAGACCTGCCAATCATTCATCATTTGAAATGGAATATTTTTTAGAATTCAGTGTTCTTTCATGTCATTTTGGGGAAATAGTTGGATTTTAAAAATTAATTTTATCAGATAATCTTTATTTGACTTTTTAATTACATTTTTGTCCTGTTCAGTTAGTGATGTACAATCATTGGGAATATGTTTCATCTATAGTGGAAAAGTTCTTCAGCTGTCTGTTGTACTTTCATCAAACGGTTCTAATTCAGGCTGTCAGTTCAAGTCCGTTTAATATCACTGGAATCGGTTTCAATTTCGAAAAGAATTGTTTGGGAAACATTTTCTGTTTTCCCACGGCAGCAAAGACTAATTAATATTTTATAGATGTAATTCATGACCTTTTGTCGTCAATGTTTTTTTAATATGTGACATTACCGGGAGTTATGTGGCTAAGATTTCCGTCTACACATTCATCACATCAATATTTCAGCGTTGCAACAGAGTCACCTCATCACCATTAGTACTGCACTGCTAGGGGTCGATTTATGGCACAATCCAGGTAGACTCATGCTTCACAGGGCCATTTCATGTCCATTTCATGTTGATTTCATTGCTGTATCAAGTGTAAGTCACAGTGAGTTTCTTTATTCTACACTTGTAAAACATACTTGCAAAGGAGAAACAGAATCTTCATCCAGATGGACCGAAGCTCTTCATCTACCACATCATACGATGCTGAGATTATTCTAAAAATGAAGAACATTTTCATTCATTTCAGCTGCTGAAATCTATGGTTTTTGTGATGGTAATATGCTGGGTTTTCTTTTTTCAAAAATATTCATGTGCGGTTTTTGGTTTCAGATTATAGAGATAGTATCATGCCTGACTCTCCGGAATCAAAAGGTGTGACGCAAACAACAAGTTCACCAGCCGTCAGCTCCATGGCATCCATTCCGCCAATCACAAGGCCAATATCTAGTGGTAGCACCGCATCAGGTATGTTGATAACATGTTGATATCACCCAACTGACTGTATTGTGCCGTGGTATAAATTGTTAATTACATGTTCATATCACCCAGCTGACGTTGTCCTGCAGTGCCACACACACATTGTATATATAACATACCCAGCTGAAAGCGGCATGCTTTATCACACATTGTTCATAACATGTTCATTCACATTCAGTGTATCACACGTTGTTCATAACATGTTCATTTCACAATCATTATGTCACACATTGTTCATTTCACGATCATTGTATCATTTTGTATCACATATAGTTCATAACATGTTCCATTCACTCTGGTATCATGTTGTGTCACACATATTACTTGTTGTAGTTAGCAACTATGCCACATTCACTGCTTACATGATTTTCTTGTGTGGCCAAAAAGTCATGCAGCTGTTTAGACATTCCTGCAGAAGTTTATTGTCAACCCGTATTGTTTAAAGGCAAACATCGATAGTTTGTTCATGACATATGGTTGGGAGTATCATGTTCATAGCACCGTTGTTTATGGCATTAAATGTGACAGCTGTCAACTGTTCCATACATCAATAGCCTGTCCATATGACATAGCTAGCAGTATCGAGCCTCAGTCTCCCAAACAGTACTGTGTCAGTTATATACAACATACAAAATTGTCTCACAGTATTTTATCATATTTAAATTTCATATTTATTAATGTTCATAACGTCAGAAACGACAATATCACAAATTGATCACAGTGTTACTATGTTGTTTTTAACATTTTTATAACGCACAGACAAATGTCGTCCAGTTGTTGTCCAAGTCACATGTGGTCAGTGTATGGAAAGGTCAGAAGATGGCACACAAACAGGTGTTTCATGTTTAAAGATTGCAGATACTGGCCTCGTCCCAGGAAATTAGTTTGCACACCTTGACAATGCAGATTAGAATAAAACCTGCTGCTGAGTAAATAACACGATATGGCTTGGGATTACATGAAACTTTCATGGCGTAGCTAAACATTTCCATAGAACACAGGACTTGCTTCCCTTCAATCATGGAAGCACACTCTGTTTTACGTCACAGATAAACCACAATGACGCTATCACTTATGATGCCTTATTACAATTATTAGCTCATTTGTCCTGAAATATATATCTTATGAATAATTCATTATGGGAAGAATGATCTCTTTTCCCAAATAGAATTGATGTGTTCACTCATTATAGTTTGAGAACAAAATATGATCAAATATTAAACTGTTTAAAGCTAAATTAAAAAAGAAGTTAATTTGAAATCCGGCTCATTTACAGGAGCCTAATTTTTGGCATGAATATTTTAGAAGATATAACTGTATAACATCATACATTTTACAAATCTAAATGGGCTCTTGATATAGATGTGGAGTACATTATTACCCTAAGTTCATAAAAAACACATTCATTGCATATAAATGAAACAAATTTCTTCAAAATGGACAGATTTGTTACAGTTTATATGTGATGTATTTTGACAGATATAGGCTTGTATTTTACAGGCTTGAACGGTTCTCATTCACCCCTGAGTAGCATCAACGGTCGCACACCATCGCCACCATCGATGACCAATTCCTCCATGTGCCAGCAGCTCCCCCCTGCCTGCGGTGCCAGACAGCTCAGCAAGTTGAAGCGGTTCCTCACAACACTGCAGCAGTTTGGTTCCGATATCTCCCCAGAGATTGGCGAGAGAGTGCGCATGTTGGTCCTTGGACTTGTGGTGAGTTGGACACAGATTGAAATAACTTCATTTGTGAAGTTGACATGAACTTTGGCCTTTGCTTTCTTGCCAGCTTAAATGTTGACTTTAAATTCTGTCTGTGGGATTTTGGTAAAATTGTTTAGTATGCCTTTGATTTGCAAGTCAATATATCGTTAAGATGATCATAAGGCTGCTTTGTGAAGTTGTCAGGCCAGGGAGTGCACTCAAGATTTAAATCTGATTTTGAAAAAAAAAATGTTTTATGTCTTCTATTATCAGTTAATTTGATTTTGAAATGTAAAATGAGCTTCTTTGAGGGGCATTTAGAAGTGATACACATAAAGGCAATAGTTTTATGGATGTTAACTTCTCTATTGTGATTGGTCACGACGTCTCGAAGTATATTCTTACACCTTCATCAGGTGAATGATGAAGGAGTAAGGATATACTCAAAAACGTCGTGACCAATCACAATAGAGAAGTTAACATCCATAAAATTCTTGCCTTTAAAATGAGCTTCATGTTTGTATCACTGCTTGTGGATTTGTTTTTCAGATGTAATCATTTGTACTCATTCTTTTCAGAACTCCCATCTTTCCATTGAAGAATTCCATGCGAAATTGCAGGAAGCGACAAACTTTCCCCTCAGACCCTTCGTTATTCCATTTCTCAAGGTAAGGAACGACATGGAAGAAATGGATTTCTAACTATCGATACACGTGTAGAGAGCCTGTAATATGCTGAAGAATGAACTGTTAGTGTTAAGTTAAGACCATGTTGAAACTGTGAGCTGTGTGTTGTCAACAGTGTTGTAATAGAGTTATCTTCCTTGCAGGCTAACCTGCCTCTCCTCCAGAGGGAGCTGCTCCACTGTGCACGGATGGCAAAGACCACACCTCAACAATATCTCGCTCAGAATGAACACATTGTGTTTGATCCAGCTCACTCCCCTCTAGAATCCACAGACTCCATCGCCTCCGACATGAATGAAAATGGCAAACGCAGATCACCAGACAGGTAATTACTTCTCTTGCAACAGTTCAAAGAATTTCCCTGCCACTCTAAGCTAATATTGACCGTTTTGGAAAGCTTTGCTTTTCTTCCTTGCTAAAGGACTTAATATCTGTTTGCTCCCTGAACAAAAAGAAAGAAAACCAGGCTGTAATGACAAGTAAAGGAATAAGCCTTGCTCCTAACTCCCCAGAGTGAGTGAGTGAGTATGGTTCTATGCCACTTTTAGCAATATTCCAGCAACATCACGGCAGGGGACACCAGAAATGTGCTCCACACATTACCCATGTGGGGAATTGAACCTGGGCCTTTCGGCGTGACGAGGGAAATCTTTAACCACTAGGCTACGCCACCGACCCTAACTCCCTGAAGCGATCAAAGATTCTCCTAGAATCTCTGAAGCATATAAAGAATATTTTTTTATTGGAAACCTTTTGTGTTACAGACCCAAAGAAAATGGTGTGGATGCATCTCACATGGACTCAATGCACCCAGCCAAGAGACACCACCCCATGAGTCCCATGGGGGGTAGTCGGATCAGCCCCAACGGGTCCCTCAACCTCAACACAGGGGGACCAATCAGGCTGGAGGACATCAGCATATCACGGGAAATTCGCGAGCGAGAACGCATTGAGAGGGAACGCATGGACAGAGAACGCATGGAGCGAGAGAGGGAAAGAGACAGACACTACACAGGATATGGTAAGTGAAATTAAATCAAAGCTAATATTTTGGGTAATATTAAATTTTGGATCGAAAATACTAATAAAAATCATAAAGTTTGTCTTTAAGAAAATGTGTATCAGGGTACCTTTCTGATTTATGTAACATAGTTAATATTTTAGTTTTTAAGTATAATTTATATTTTTCAGCTGGTTACCAAAGAAACGAGCCATTTGACCCATTGGAACGTCTTGATGATGACTGGAGACATGTAGAAACTGTAAGTAGAAATTGCATATTGACAATAAAATAATTAATTAATGAACTTAATACTGGCGGTATAAAAGTATTTAACAGAGATGATATTTAATATTGATAACTTACTGATGAGTGGAGATATACAGAAACTGTAAGTAGAAATTGCATATTGAGATTAAATACTTAATTAATGAACTTAATACTGAAAGTATATAGATAACTTGCTGATGATAGTGTTTTGTGCTGTGCAGATGCTCAACTGTATCATTGGGATGGTGGATAAGACGAAGAGGGCGCGCTGTCAGTGCTTCAGGAGAGGAGTTTGCGCGACCGCGAGGAACTCTCTGTGTGGATGCGGCGCCATGCAGAGGGTATGGACCAGGATGTGAAGAAACGTACAAGTGACATGATGGCATACACAATGAGGCAGACAGAGGACCGGGTCACTGAGGTCAGGCGTAGGGCAGGTATGTTTCACATCTTATGTTTCAAAATATACATAGAACCTTTCCTGTGTGGCTACGTTACAGGGAGAATAGAGCCTTTCAAAAATCAGAAAATATGGTTTGGTGGATATATTAATAGCAATGGTTAAAATATGAACATTTATGTTTCTAACATTATGTTGAAATGTGAGAGAGTATTAATGGATACCGTTTTGTGTTTTATCTTTCTTCAGTCACATGAAAGTCATGAAGTAGAAAAACATGTTTTTCATGATGATACTGTCAACACAGTTTCATTTCATCAAGTAATTATTTTTTTGCGTCACCGGTAAATGTGAAATAATGTCTTGACAATCCAAATTTGATAATTTTTGTTTGGTCCTCATATTGTGTATGATAGAGAGTTGTCTCCCCTTGACTTATTGGCTTCATACCTATGATTGCTTCAGAAGAAGCTGTGAATGAGGTCAAGAGACAAGCAATGCTGGAACTGCAAAAAGCTGTGACAACAGCTGAACAAAAGGCCACTGAGATGGTTACTATTGAACGAACCAAGATGGATCGTCAGTTGTCAGATGTTAAAAAAAAGACCCAAGAGGAAGTTGCAGCCACCATCAACCACCAGGAGGAGAGCAGCGAGGTTAGTAAAGGGAGAATGTCGACTCTTATTTACTAAAAAGAAAATTTTGTGTCACTACTGTGTTAAAAATGAGTGTCGTTCACTTTTATGAACATCACAACCAGTAACTGAAATGTGGGGATATGGATAATTTTCATAGGTTTATTACTACTGCCCAATTCAATTCTGTTGAAAATCATCATCCATGGTTAGAGTTAGTGAGTGAGTTTAGTTTTACGCTGTTTTAAGCAATATCACGGGAGGGGACACCAGAATTGGGTGTCACATCTTGTAAACATGTGAGGAATCAACCTTGAGTCTATGGCGTGACAAGAGACGCTTTAACCACTAGGCCACCCGACTGCCCCTCATCCTGTACTAGAACTCAGTGAGTGCATTATGTATATATGTTAGATGTTTATGGTGATTTTCTTTCCTTTACAGAGTTGCTGGAACTGTGGTCGTAAGGCCAGCGAAACATGCAGCGGCTGCAACATCGCCCGCTACTGCGGCTCATTCTGTCAGCACAAAGATTGGGAGAGTCATCATCATGTCTGTGGAAAAAGCCCAAGTGGTCAGCATTGCTGAAGCCCGCGACCAGAGGAAGGCGAGTAATCGAGAACGGGGCGACGGCCCACCTGGCAAGATCCCAGACATGGAATCAACACCCACACCTAAGAGCCCTCAACAGCCCGAACCCAGCCCAACTGCATCTGTGACGTCTGTTGCATCAGCAGCTTCGGCAGCTAACTCTCTGTCAGGGTCAAGATCAAGCACGCCGGCAGAAAACCGCTCATCGGACGCAACCCGATAGATTGCTCACTATTGTTGGTTGGACTAAGATATTGTGTATTATCTGTCGTGTGACGACCGCCTTCAGTACCACATTGTTGTTCCTGTGCGTGTTGGCGTCGGTTTCACGCCAGCGTTCCCTGTGTACTGGAGACTGACGTTACGTACTATCAGCTATGTATTATCGGACAGTATGACTGTGAATGCAATGTGTGTATTGTTCACGCTTCACGTGACCTGTCTGTGCACGAAGAAGGGACTTCACAACTCACCTGACAGCCATCAGGAGAAATCCCCATTCTGTGGCCAAGGATACACTGACATTACTTCCTAGACTTCAGGGTAACATATTGATCTCAAAGTGAAACGAGACGGTATCGTGCTATGTCTGTCTCAACGTGAAGTGTACGAGATGGATCGGAGGGCTGTTCTCAAGTTTCTCTAGTCAGAATGGGAGAGGGAAAGGATGGTGCTGCCAATGTCTATTCGAATGTACATTTTCATGATTATGTTGATTACCATGATAAGTAATCAGTAATCACAAGTAATGACATATAATCAGTATATACATTTCCCGTTAGAAAGGAAATGTGGAGATTGACTCTGAGGCATTACAGATACTGTGAGGTTGAGGCACATCCCATAATTCCCTGTCCCACCACAGCCTACTCCTGAGATTATCGTTATGGTAACAGAATCTCGTTTCCTCTAGTCCCTGTCTCCGATAACCGTCATTCCCAGACGTGTATATCGCCCAATGTGCAATCATTCAATCCCATGAGATTTAAGGCTTTAATTTTCATAACCCACAGGTGATATTGTATTATTTTTTTGTGCATTTGTTAAATGGTATTTTGGGAAAAAAGACTGACCTTATCTTTTCCTGTTTTTTTTTTCTACCCAGGAACTAACCACAGGTGTTTGCAGATAGAGCATCTACTGCATCAGATAATCTGATGATTTCTAATACTTCCTGGGGGATTCTCAGGATACTAGGTTCACCTGTCTGTGTTTATGTACATTGCTTCTCAACCTCAAAGATGTGTAAAATATGACATAGTAATATATATGTATATTTGGCAACGCTGTCATGTAACTATGAGTAATCCGTTATGTATGTATGGTGGACGAGTGTCTGCGCATGTCAGTTGTCTCCCTTTGTCATTCTCGGAAACTGACATGTTGTTACCATGGAGACAAGTCACTTTAGAATGTATTTTGCCATGGCAACAGAATACACACTGAAATTCTCCTGTAATTCCAGGTTTCTTTTTTGTGCCAAAGTTAGTATAGATTTTCAATTCTGATTAAAATAACATTTTACTTTAGGTGTTTTGGGGAGAAATATTGCAAATTATTCACAATTATTTCAAGTCAAACTTGAAAATTTGTGTTATAATGCGTAAAACCTACAGGTATGAAATACCTTATTAATTATGTCATAAGTTACTGATAGTTAAAATATTAAAGTTTTGTTTAATTCTTTGCTTAGTATCCACACGCACTAAGTTGATTTAACCCTCACATTTGTTGGATTAAAGTCCTGTATTTGGTCTGGTTCAAAGTATCTGTAAACTCCAATGTTACCATTCAACCACATTCAGAAATATTTGATGCAAAATGGTATCGTGTTACACTGAATTTATCATTCTTTCCGAAAAAATTAATATTTTTATGGATTTTAAGTGCATCTTTTATGTAACTTGAATTGCAAGTCCTGGAGTGTTGGTAGAATGGTAACAGATTGACTGTAGTGCTCTGTTGTTCCCTCACGGTGTCCGTCTGTCTGTGATGTGGTGTAGCAGTGACGGACGCCGTTACTGTCCCTGTTCCCAGGTGTCTGGATGTTGGTGGCATATATTGTACTCTACATGGAACTCATAATAAATACTCAATATGAAAACAATATTCAGCTTGTGTGTTTTGTTAGACTGAGCATACGTCAGTGGTGTGGATGACCGTGTTTTACATGCAAATGTAGCACAAAGATGACCTCAACAAACACAATGCTTTAACACACATGTGGCAACCTGTTAGCCCAAGCAAGTTTGAAGCAACTCCATGAAACACTTTTGATCACATTGCCGACTCACAACATTGGGTGTATAGTTGATGTTAGCCTTGCTTCAAGGCTGTACTGAATGCTAAGCCCATGGATGAAAAGTAATTGTACCCTTTGAAGACAAGTGGACAGTCTAAGGATGCCAGTCTGTTACTTATATATGATTCACATGCTAGGACAAGCATGTGGCTGATGACCAATTCTAACCAATTCTTCAAGGTGCAAAACACTGTAGGAAAACATGACAGTAATTACAGACCATTTGAGACAAAATGATACTGATGAATTGCAGTCTAACACAAAAACAAATAGACACACAAGAATCAAACCAACGTGGAGTGCAATAAAAACAACAAACCAACTCTAGAAAAAAATTGCATAATTTTTGTCACAAAAATAAAAAAGTTGTTTAAGAAACTGTCATCATTTATTTGTGTGTTTTCCAAGTTTGTTACAAGGGCGCATTGGCAACTAAAGGAATTGCACTCCGCATGTCTGTGCTATTAGTTAATGGCTGACCAACCTGGTCAGCTCACCTTGTGGATTAGTGAAGATCAGTTGAAACAGATCACTAACTCTGACTTGATAGCTGATAGGCACTGACGACACTTTGTTTGCTAGTGAACGCTGGAAGTGATACCTGCCTGACCTTGAATTGTTTTCATTCTTATTCACAAAAGATCCCAAAGGATACTGTTAGATTTATCCTCCTGAGAAACCAAACCAATGTATGACAGATATGTCACATGAGGACATAGTTTCACAAGTGTAGAATCCCATTCCGCTCAAAAACCCATACACCATACTTTGTTTAAATGTCACACTCAGCAATATTCCATATGGTGTCGGTTTGTGAATAATGAAATCTGGACCAGACAATCCAGTGATCAACAGCATGAGCATTGATCTATGCAATTGGGATACGATGACATGTCAACCAAGTCAGAGATCCTGACAACTTGGTCCCGTTAGTCGCCTCTTTACGGTAAGCTTGCTGGAGACAAATTCTAACCTGGATCTTCATGAGTGTCACCCTGCTGCTGACACATAGCCAGCATTTACCAGTTACACATTAACATTCAAGAGAAATTTGAAAAATATAATTTTTATGATAAAATTGATATTCTATACTTATCCTGATTCATGCTATATGCTTATCGCCCTTTTCCTTCGAACAGTACGTGGAAATTTGAATCCCTTTGCTCCCTGAAGCAAACGTAAAATCACTCACCCATTCGGGTTGCCTCCCGTTACCTTTCCCGCCACTGTGTCCCACGTGACCAGCACACTGCCATGCTCTTGTCACTCTCTCCTGAATCGCCCTAGCGGACGGTTGGATGGTTACTTCGGGTCCTTTTTACAGCTCATATCCTTTTATATTTAGACTTTTATAGAAATTTATGCTGTAGATTGTATATTTATACATTCTACTATACATGACATATTTATTCATGTAAATTACTAGTTACACTTAACATTCAAGAGAGATTTGAAAAATTTAATGTATCAGGGTTAGTTGTGCCATACAGGGTTAGTTGTAGCCATACAGGGTTAGTTGTACCATACAGAGTTAGTTGTACCATACAGGGTTAGTTGTCCCATACAGGGTTAGTTGTGCCATACAAGGTTAGTTGTGCCATACAGGGTTAGTTGTGCCATACAGGGTTAGGGTTAGTTGTACCATACAGGGTTAGTTGTGCCATACAGGGTTAGTTGTACCATACAGGGTTAGTTGTGCCATACAGGGTTAGTTGTGCCATACAGGGTTAGTTGTGCCATACAGGGTTAGTTGTGCCATACAGGGTTAGTTGTACCATACAGGGTTAGTTGTGCCATACAGGGTTAGTTGTGCCATACAGGGTTAGTTGTACCATACAGGGTTAGTTGTGCCATACAGGGTTAGTTGTGCCATACAGGGTTAGTTGTGCCATACAGGGTTAGTTGTGCCATACAGGGTTAGTTGTACCATACAGGGTTAGTTGTACCATACAGGGTTAGTTGTACCATACATTGTGCCATACAGGGTTAGTTGTACCATACAGGGTTAGTTGTACCATACAGGGTTAGTTGTGCCATACAGGGTTAGTTGTACCATACAGGGTTAGTTAGTGCCATACAGGGTTAGTTGTACCATACAGGGTTAGTTTGTGCCATACAGGGTTAGTTGTACCCATACAGGGTTAGTTGTACCATACAGGGTTAGTTGTACCATACAGGGTTAGTTGTACCATACAGGGTTAGTTGTGCCATACAGGGTTAGTTGTACCATACAGGGTTAGTTGTGCCATACAGGGTTAGTTGTGCCATACAGGGTTAGTTGTGCCATACAGGGTTAGTTGTACCATACAGGGTTAGTTGTACCATACAGGGTTAGTTGTGCCATACAGGGTTAGTTGTGCCATACAGGGTTAGTTTGTGCCATACAGGGTTAGTTGTGCCATACAGGGTTAGTTGTGCCATACAGGGTTAGTTGTACCATACAGGGTTAGTTGTGCCATACAGGGTTAGTTGTACCATACATTGTGCCATACAGGGTTAGTTGTGCCATACAGGGTTAGTTGTACCATACAGGGTTAGTTGTGCCATACAGGGTTAGTTGTACCATACAGGGTTAGTTGTACCATACAGGGTTAGTTGTGCCATACAGGGTTAGTTGTGCCATACAGGGTTAGTTGTACCATACAGGGTTAGTTGTGCCATACAGGGTTAGTTGTACCAATACAGGGTTAGTTGTGCCATACAGGGTTAGTTGTACCATACATTGTGGTTAGTTGTACCATACAGGGTTAGTTGTACCATACAGGGTTAGTTGTACCATACAGGGTTAGTTGTACCATACAGGGTTAGTTGTGCCATACAGTTGGCCATACAGGGTTAGTTGTGCCATAAACGGTTAGTTGTGCCATACAGGGTTAGTTGTGCCATACAGGGTTAGTTGTGCCATACAGGGTTAGTTGTGCCATACAGGGTTAGTTGTACCATACAGGGTTAGTTGTGCCATACAGGGTTAGTTGTACCATACATTTGTGCCATACAGGGTTATTTGTGCCATACAGGGTTAGTTGTGCCATACAGGGTTAGTTGTACCATACAGGGTTAGTTGTACCATACAGGGTTAGTTGTACCATACAGGGTTAGTTGTACCATACAGGGTTAGTTGTGCCATACAGGGTTAGTTGTGCCATACAGGGTTAGTTGTACCATACAGGGTTAGTTGTACCATACAGGGTTAGTTGTACCATACAGCGACATGACATGTTAGAGGTGAGGTGAAATAGGGGTTTAACGTTGCACTTAAGATTATTTCGCTCATGTGACGATTTGCATTCATGTGTATGTGTGGCTGCTTGTACTACCCCAGACTTAAGCTGGTATTATAGTGCTAGCCCACTGAGATACCATGCCGCAGTGAAGCATGAATACTCCACTCAGACACATTATACTGACTCCGAGCCGACCAGTCCTTGTTGTACCCATTAATGTCAAGCGCCAGGCAGGGACCAACAAGTACCATATTTTAATGTCTTTTGGTATGACGCAACCGGGGACTGAACCCGTGACCTTCCGCTCTCCAAGACATGTTAGAGAACCATCACAGCAGTGAATTTGGAATTATCACCCACATCCAGCAAATCATCGCTGTGACGCATCTTGATATGTGTGATGTTAGTGAATGTCAGTCAGCAATATACCAGCAGCCATTATAAACAACTGAGAGACTTCACTGATTCAACGCTCATCTGAATTATTCACAAACACACGAGGGTCCATGTTATTTATTTATTCTTGTTCCACAATGTGCCATCATGTGTTTGTACAAAAGATAAACTAATGAATAACAATACCAACAAACATGTCCATCCCAAACTGATAGTTCTCTCCATAAAAACAAATAGTTTGTGTTCCAGGGAATAACATAAGAAGATAATGACAGCAATGCTGTAATTCATCAGCACATCAGATGGTCAAGGGGAGGTCACTTTTGAAATGTATTGTAATTATCCCCCTTTCCACAACTCGTGAAGCTATCCATGAGCATTTGACTGAATGAGTTTTACGCCGCTTTTAGCTATATTCAAACAATATAATGGCGGGGGATACCAGAAATGGGCTTTACACATTGAACCCAAGTGAGGAATCGAACCCGTGTCATTGGTGTGATGAGTGACCGCTTTAACCACTAGGCTACCCCACCATCCATCCCCATGAAAGAACTCAGTCCCTGTTACAACATAATGGAGCATATGGTGTATTGCTAAACACGATAAATACATCATGAAATGAAGATTTGCCAACTAATCCCAATATGTGTGCGACAGCGAGCTCAGAGGTCTATGTTCCTCATGGAGCTGATAGCGCGGGCAATCCGCTGAGGCATCTGCTCTGCAGCTTCAGCGAAGGTGTCCATGGATGCCTTCAACAGGATGTCAATGTTCCGAAGAATGTCAGAGGACTGCAAACCCAGATCGTCCAGCACATTCGTCAGGTAGTCTGTACATGAACATACACATCAGGTTACAACAAAACTGTCCAAGCATGATGCAGCAATTATGTTGTGTAGCTATTTGTGAAGATTTCTACTTCACTACATCACTCAGATATTGCATCAGCAGATACAGTAACTAGGCATCCGCACATATCAAGGATTACATTGCTAATATTGCAGCAGATGAGTGAATCAAGACTTAAATTCATGTGCCTACCAGTAGGTGATGTTTTTAACAACAGAAGAAAAGTAATCAATGATATAAGGAATGCATCATGTGTAGTGAACCTCTGGTGAACAGGTCACCTGTTTTCAGACACTCAATTGGTTTGGTACATTAGCAGTGTTTTATTATGAATGATCAGCCATTCTGAGACTTAGGACAGTTCTCACAGGTGTTTACATTTGAATTCAATGTTTACAGGCAGAATGTGTGCACTGTTAAATCAACAGATTTGACGATACACACCTCTTGCTATACCATGCCATCAATATGGCTGTTCGAAACACTTGTCATTTTGAAATCTGGGAACTGGATGATATTTTAAATGACAAACAACTTGGATGAGGCGGTGTCTTCAAGAGTGACTGACCTATATCTGTGATGAGCTGCTTTGTGGCATGTGGAGTCAGCTCATGAATCTTGAGAACTTCCTCTGTAAACTCATGCATGGTTCCCTTGGCAACAGACTCCAGCCAGAGGTCTGCTAGGTGCTCTGGTGATTCTGAAATGAATTTTATCATGTCTATCATAAATGTCAGTCATAACGATAAAGCAATGACATTCCAATCCATCAAATCTACAGATGGAGACAGAGGATTTAATTGAACAGTATGTCTCATTCTTCATCTGTGTGAAGCAGTTTCCTGTGTGATGACCGCCTCCGTGGTGTAGTGGTTAGAGCGTCCGCCCGGAGAGCGGAAGGTCGCGGGTGCGATCCCCGACCGCGTCATACCAAAACACGTTAAAATATGGTACTTGTTGGTCCCTGCCTGGCGCTCGGCATTAATGGGTACAACAAGGACTGGTCGGCTCGGAGTCAGTATAATGTGTCTGAGGGGGGTAGTCATGCTTCACTGCGGCATGGTATCTCAGTGGGCTAGCACTATAAAACCAGCTTCAGTCTGGGCTGAAGCAGCCGCACACACACATACACATGCATGCACGTCGTCATATGAGCGAAATATTCTCAAGCACGACGTTAAACCCAATTTCACCTCACCTCACTTACCTTGTTCATCTGTGAAGGGCAGCTTGCCGTGTTTGAGGGCGATGGTGAGGGTAGAGCTGTCCTGCAAGGTGAAAGGGTCCAGATGCTGGGGCAGTGTCATCAGGTACTGCCCTATCTGGAACACAGAACCAGCACATAGGACATCAACATGGTGTGGACTGACTAAGAATGGCCTAGAAACTTCATGTCCAACATGTCTTTTGGTTCTGACAACAGAGTAGAGAACATTTCAGCAATATCCACATTCCTTTCATAGACAGAGACAGTGATTTGAATCACTCCCCATGTGTCTACCAAATGAATCAGGTTGTCAAGAATGATGACAAATTTTATGGATATACGACTTCTATTCTTCTATTCTATTCAGTTTTGCACACATATCGCTTCTATCGAGGATGGAGTAGTGAGTGAGTGAGTTTAGTTTTACGCCGCACTCAGCAATATTCCAGCTATATGGCAGTGGTCTGTAAATAATCGAGTCTGGACCAGACAATCCAGTGAACAACAGCATGAGCATCGATCTGTGCAATTGGGAACCGATGACATGTGTCAACCAAGTCAGCGAGCCTGACCACCCGATTCCACATAGATTCTAATGTCATTGTCAAGCAAGTGTTACATGAGAAACATAGAAAGAGACTATATACATGACTTGTTATTACAGTAGATTGGGGATGAGTTGTTTGTACAATAAATCAGGTTGATCTACAACACATGTATAGGAGATTGAGATGTATATCCATAAAAATTGTCATCATTCCTCATCAGCTCAACTTCTAAAATGCCCATCCAAGAAGTCAGGTTGTGAAGCTTGGAGACTTGGTCAATAACCTATGTTTGTGTTGCTATGGATGAGGCCATGGCCAGACAGGAGTATTTACAAGCTATGCCCATATATACCTGAATGTGGTGTTTATCAAAGGACACATGCTATGCCCATATATACCTGAATGTGGTGTTTATCAAAGGACACACGCTATGCCCATATATACCTGAATGTGGTGTTTATCAAAGGACACATGCTATGCCCATATATACCTGAATGTGGTGTTTATCAAAGGACACACGCTATGCCCATATATACCTGAATGTGGTGTTTATCCAAGGACACACGCTATGCCCATATATACCTGAATGTGGTGTTTATCAAAGGACACACGCTATGCCCATATATACCTGAATGTGGTGTTTATCAAAGGACACATGCTATGCCCATATATACCTGAATGTGGTGTTTATCAAAGGACACACGCTATGCCCATATATACCTGAATGTGGTGTTTATCAAAGGACACACGCTATGCCCATATATACCTGATTGTGGTGTTTATCAAAGGTGCCTATGCCCATTATATCAAAGGACACACGCTATGCCCATATATACCTCAATGTGGTGTTTATCAAAAGACAAATAAGGGTTAGGAGGTGAAACCAAACTTAACTTTGGATTCTCTTCAGATAACAAATGTGTGAATACCCTGACAGGCTTGAACAAGACCAGTAAAGGGTTCAATGGGATCTGATGGCAGTGTGGGACACACATCCTTCTATAACTGATATATCTTCCCAACTGTAATTATGTGGGTGTTTGGCTGTAAGGAAACCTAGTTGTGGACTAGCAGAACCAGTCTCTGCAGTAGCAGCAGTGCTGACCTTTGTGATGTACTCCTGGGGTGAAAGGCTGAAGGTCGGGAGGTCAGAGGTCATGGCCCCACCAGCAGACCGGGAAGTCCATATCTGTAACATCAAGATGATCGTCTGATCCCTCAGAAATTTGTTTAACAGAAACACAGATGACAGGATAGCATATAAGGAAACGCTAAGACTGTTGTAATATTGGCCATATGGCCAGAACATTTTGTCTACATACAAGGATACAGACTTATTTATTTATCCTACTTAAATGAATCTGACTTAACACCAAGCCATGGTAGTGAATGACTCCAGGGCATCAACCAAGCTATAATGATGATGTAATACACGGTGAGGCACGGTGAGGTGAGGCATGGTGAGGTGAGGTGAGGCAAGGTGAGGTGAGGCAAGGTGAGGTGAGGTGAGGTGAGGTGAGGTGACATTTATCAAGGCTGGGGAAACTGAACAAAATGTTTTACCTCCATGTTGGACAGGTTGCCGAGATATCTCTTCAGCTGGGCAAACACGATGTCAAATCCAAACTTGTGCACCGCTTCACTCAGTTTGCTCATGTCAGACATTATTTCTGTCAGCACTGATGGAGTGTCTCCTGTAGGGTGTTGGATACAGTCAATCATTATTCACACCTCAACAGACTGGGAACCCCTCGAGTACCCCCTGACCCACCTTCCTCAAGACCAGTTTCCCCTTGAGTATACCCTCTGCCACCCATCCTTCCCTATAGAGGCATCCCTCAGAGTACATCCTGTGCTACCGACCTTTCTCCAGTCAGGTGACCCCTCGAGAACACCCTGACCCACCTTCCTCCAGACCAGTTACACCTATACACCCTGTGCCACTCACCCTTCCCTAGACAGGCAACCCTTAGAGTACACCCTGACCAATCCCTAGACAGGCATCCCTTAGAGTACACCCTGACCAATCCCTAGACAGGCATCCCTTAGAGTACACCCTGACCAATCCCAAGACAGGCATCCCTTAGAGTACACCCTGACCAATTCAAAGACAGGCAACCCTTAGAGTACACCCTGACCAATCCCAAGACAGGCATCCCTTAGAGTACACCCTGACCAATCCCAAGACAGACATCCCTTAGAGTGCACCCTGACCAATCCCAAGACAGACATCCCTTAGAGTACACCCTGACCAATCCCAAGACAGGCAACCCTTAGAGTACACCCTGACCAATCCCAAGACAGGCATCCCTTAGAGTACACCCTGACCCACCTTCCTCAAAGCTGGTGACCCCTAGTGTACACCTGACATACCTGCCTGCCCCTAGACCAGTAAGCCCTAATGTACATCCAAACCCACCCATCTTCCTCCAGACTGGTGACCCCTAGTGTACACCTGACATACCTGCCTGCCCCTAGACCAGTAAGCCCTAATGTACATCCAAACCCACCCACCTTCCTCCAGACTGGTGATCCCTAGTGTACACCTGACATACCTGCCTGCCCCTAGACCAGTAAGCCCTAATGTACATCCAAACCCACCCACCTTCCTCCAAACTGGTGATCCCTAGTGTACACCTGACATACCTGCCTGCCCCTAGACCAGCAAACCCACCCACCTTCCTCCAGACTGGTGACCCCTAGTGTACACCTGACATACCTGCCTGCCCCTAGACCAGCAAACCCACCCACCTTCCTCCAGACTGGTGACCCCTAGTGTACACCTGACATACCTGCCTGCCCCTAGACCAGCAAACCCACCCACCTTCCTCCAGACTGGTGACCAGCTGCACCAGGGCAGCCACCTCCTCCTCACTGGACAGGAACAGTGCAGCCTGGAATGTCAGGGTGTGTCGGCGCTGGCTCAGTCTGGGAAACAAACAGTGAATAGCTTGAGAACAAGCTGCCATGGAGACCATACAGTCATTCCATTACACACTCTTTTACCAATACAGAAGTTTCAGGGCATCAACGTCTCCAGGATGCAGTTTTGACAATATAGCCTCCATGGGTCTTCCCAGGAGAGTTTCAGGTAAAAGAGATGAGCTTATTCTTCAAATTACAATTTCACAGCTTAAGCTACATCTGTACTTAACTTGAGATTGAATTGATAGTTTGTACAGCTGTTATCAGGGTTCTAGAGCATTAATCTAGAGATTAAAGAGTGCTACTGCACCTCTTGTCAGCATCTTTGCTTGGTGAGGATGTCCCAACAGTTTTGCCGACCGTGTGTAGGATACAGCTGATGATGTGCTGGTCCAGCTCCTCCACATGCTGTATCAGATCACCTTGAACACAGGGGCAGACTGGGGTCAGTGGGGGAGACAGGGGTGAGAGGGGCAGACTGGGGTCAGTGGGGGAGACAGGGAGACAATTGGGTCAGTGGGGTGAGAGGGACACAAATTTGGGGTCAGTGGGTGAGAGAGCGATGACAGGGGTGAGATTGGGGGTCAGTGGGGAGACAGGGGTGAGAGGGGGAGATTGGGGTCAGCGGGACACAAATTGGGAGTCAGTAGGGGAGACAAGGGTGAGAAGGCGACACAAATTAGGGGTCAGTGGGAGAGACAGGGGTGAGAGGGGACACAAATTGGGAGTCAGTGGGGGAGACAGTGGTGAGATTGAGGTCAGTGAGGGAGACAGGGGTGAGAAGGGGAGATTGGGGGTCAGTGGGGGTGACAGGGGACACAAATTGGGGGTAAGTGGGGGAGACAGGGGTGAGAAGGAGACACAAATTGGGGGTCAGTGGGAGAGACAGGGGTGAGAGGGGGACACAAATTGGGAGTCAGTGGGGGAGACAGTGGTGAGAGGGGGACACAAATTGGGAGTCAGTGGGGAGACACTGGTGAGAGGGGGACACAAATTGGAGGTCAGTGGGGGAGACAGGGTGAGAGGGTGACACAAATTGGGAGTCAGAGGGAGAGACAGGGGTCATCATTTGGAGAAAACATCAGGGAAAGACAGGGGTCAGCAATATGTATTTGTGTTGATTTAGGGTGAACGTCCATAGACTATAACACCAGGTATTACCTTGACCTACAAAACATCAACATGTCATAGATTCTCTCACTGGCTAAGCTGGCATCATCACTACATCAATATGTGGGCAGTGGTGAGACAGGCCTGTGGCCTGGCTGATGCAGTGAGAGACTGACAAATCAGTATGTGAGCGCAGTGAGACTAACCTGTTGTCTGGATGATACGGAGCGAGTGCTGGAAGTGAGACCAGTCCTCCCAGTCAGGGTCGTCACTGGGGCTAGTGTGACACTTCTCACGTATATTGATGAGGACACGACGGAACTCTCGGCAATAGCTTGTGAAATATGTCTGGAGAACAGAATCAAAACACTTTAATTAAAACAGAACATGTTTTTAATGGAGACAAGCGACATTATGACATTTTCATATTTACTATCAACTTTGAAAGGACATTCTTAATTATCATTAACAGATTTGTCCTAAAATATGAAGTAATAAGAAACCCCTACAAAAGCATTAAGTCTGCAAACAGCAGGAATCTCTCCATATTTTAAAATACTGTCTATCACCGCATATAAAGTGATTCCACATATAAAGCAACCCCTTTGTACAAACCTTCAAAATCAATGCTAATTTACATACCCTGTCCATAACGTGACACTGAACAAAACACATCATCAGTGCATACACAATCTATATATTTGTAATTAAAACATGTTTGTGCACAAAATATGTATGTGCCAGTAATTCATATCAAAGCTACATCACAGTGGGCTTAAACAACAGAATCTGGACAGGTGAAATCATTTAATTCTAACTGAAAACATTTTACTAAACAAACCAAGAGTGACCTTGACCTCATATCTGTCAGATCACTGTGACCTTGTTCACAGGTCAATGACTCTCACCTTGTGTGCCTCCAGTAGGCTGACGTAACCATAACCATTTGTGAGTTTCTGACATCTGTCATTTGCCTGAAGCACAAGAAAACATATGCCATTCAGACACTCACAATTACACGTGCAAGTACACACCTTTCTATAGAAAACATAACCTTGCTACAAAATTAAAGACCTACAAACCTTACAAATAACTTTCAGTATCCAGATGCTTTAAATGCAGTCACGCCAAAAAAAACCCAACTAACAAAATACACCCCAGGTGATGTATTATTTTTTACTACATCAATCTGGTTGGTTGAACAGAAAATATAAAAACAAAAACATACAAAAGAAAGTACAACAGTTTTTCTAAATTAAAACAATGTAAATATTTTCAAAAGTGTTTTGATTGTGACTTTCTACAGCTCACATAATAAAAAGGCCCATTGTATTTACAGATATTGAGAAACAGTGCTTTTCAACCTCAAAATACTGACAATGTACATAAACATGCATCACTATGTCTCACCTCGTTGGCTGAATGGAAGAGTTTGTTGACCGATTCCCCAAGAAGCTGGACTGTGTCCAACACCTCCTCATGGTCCTGCAATATAGCAACAGCATTTCTTTGTATGTCATGGAGAAAGTTTTTAACACAAGCGTGAGACTTATCAAAATTGTACTTGATTTTCTAACATGATGCAGAAACGAGGCTAATCAACCTTTAATTACCAGTGTGTACCATGGTGTGGAGTCATAACCTCTTTGGCCATGTGGACAAGGTGTCCGACGACAGATGAGAAGGTCTCCATATTCCTGAGGCAAGGTTGATAACTGACCACTAAAGTCCAGATTCTGCTCTTGCTGAACTATGACAGAATTTTATGACTCAGTTGTAGTGCCAACAGTGACTGAAATATGTCCCATATTAAAAACATCTTTCCACTCAATGAGCATTAAATCACTTGTTGATTAAAAACAAGAGAAGATGTGGGCAATATCTGTCAGTGCCCAGTTTCTGGTCAGAATGCTTTGCAAATCCTACAACTGACCAAACACTGCATGGCATTCACCATGATACATGTATTTACGACGTTGTTTCTGTGACATGAGTTTTGCTAGGACTATGCAAAGACTCATTTGGGCAGCCAAAACAACTGAGAAATTCCTGCCTAGTTTGGCAAGGGTGAAAACTGGTTCTTTATAGCCAGGCAACTACCTTGCCTCAGGAGGAAGGAAAGTCTCTGGTGCAAATCCCATTGTGGGACTACAAGTACTTTGTCAAGTAACATTTGTTTTTGTTACAAACCAGCCTTATGTTGTTGAGATCGTTGCTTAGTTGAACCTCCTCAAAGGTCTTGTACTTCATGAGATAAGGCCGGTAGGGGGCATACACAGTCTGTAGTAGTCTCTCCAGGCTTGATACATGGGGGAGGGAGTCTACAAGGCAAAGGGAGATAATTAGTACATCTGTAGATACAGATAGTAGGGGGCATTCCCTGTCTGTACTAGTCACTCCAGGCTTGATACATGGGGGAGGGAGTCTAACAAGACAAAGGGAGATAATCAGCATATCAGTAGATCCTGACACTAGGGGGCATACACTGTCTGTAGTAATCTCTCCAGGCTTGATACATGGGGAAGGAGTCTACAAGACAAAGGGAGATAATCAGTACATCTGTAGATCCTGACACTAAGGGACATACACTGTCTGTAGCAGTCTCTCCAGGCTTGATACATGGGGGAGGGAGTCTTCAAGACAAGGGAGATAATCAGTATATCTGTAGATCCTGACACTAAGGGACATACACTGTCTGTAGCAGTCTCTCAAGGCTTGATACATGGGGAGGGAGTCTACAAGACAAGGGAGATAATCAGCACATCAGTAGATACAGACGGTAGGGGACAATGAATGACAACTTGTTTCACTCGTTGGATCATATGAATCTAAATGAACATCACTATTGATCAGATCCCCAAATATGGCCACATCGACAGTGATTAAGTTGAGATTGGCTGTGGGCTGGTCTGGTGTCCACCACGTCTACCCAGGTACAAGTGATGTAAAGTTCCATTTAGTACTGAATCACCAACTGTAAATATACTGTTCTCCAGTAAACAAACTAAAAGGGACCACTAATTTTGGTTTGTTATAAAAGATTTATGCATTTCAATCCAAAGAGAGAGCAAGTGTTGGGGACTGAAAAACAGTTTGTTATATCCGGTATTTTGTTATAATCATGTTCCTTGAACGTAGTTTACTGTGTATTCAATGTCTGTCTCACCTGTCATATGCACTTCAACTGCACTCTCAATACTCTTGGCAAATCTCTCAGATATCTGCAACAGATCACATGAACTCTTGACTGTATAGCTGCTGGTATCACTTATGAACTGATCAGGAAGTACTTTGTTGTAGAGGTGACAGTATTGTCAACCAGGGCCTTAATGACAAGATACGGTTCTTATAGGATAAAATCAAAGTAGTTTTCATTTCACCCTTACCAATACTGAAAACAAAAATGTCCCTATTTTTTTAATTGTTGTGTCTGCATTGACAGTGCCATACTTCCTCTTCAAAAGTATTTACCTGTGTAATCATGGTACTGTTGTTTACTGTTTCTAAGGTTGTTACCCTGTCAGTTGTTGCTTACTTGTGTAGATGCCAATAGTCTCCCACCTGTCCACTGCTGGTAGACAAGGATATTGCTAACTAATGAAGTGCTAGACTAATGCTTACCTGTTTAAGTTCAGTGAGAGTTGCGAGTGTCTCCCCTCTCTGAGACAGCAGGTTGGCGAAGCATGTGGACAGACCAGGATCAAGACTTGCCAGTGACTCAGTGATCAGGTCACACACAATCGGAACAGGGTCGCTGAACACCTGGCCACACCATTTTACCTGAGTTACAGAAAATAACATGGCAATGATAGTGTATTATCTACATTCCCAAATGTGCAGGAACCAAATTTTAAGGCAGAAGAAACATTACTATGAGCCATTGAGTATTTACTATCAGAGGCAGTGGGGTAGCCCAGTGGGTAAGGTGTCTGCCCCTCACATTGAATGCCCAGGTTTGATTCCCCATATGGGTACAATGTGGGAAGTCTATTTCTGGTGTCCCCCAGTGTGATAATGCAGGAATATTGCAAAAAAAACACCCACTCACTCACTACTTACTCCCACTAATATCTACAGTTGTCTGTGGGTGTACCCTTGGGTCAAGACTAATTCCAAATGAGGACCTCAAAATTGGAAATTTTGATATAAATTGTATATTTATATACTTATCCTATCTCACGACTTGCACCTCTCTCTCGCTCCGATTTTTAGTGGAACGACTAAACTTTTTTCCATAGGCCTCCTTGTCCATTCGTCCGTGCACTCCATGCTGCTCTCCTTAATTAGCTTCCTAGTTCCTAATGAAGCTTGCAGCATGCTCCACTAATTGCCCACATGACTAACTTGAATGATCATTCTCATTTTGGAGACAACGTTGTAATCTGAGTAGTGGGGTGGCCGGGCGGGCATCCATCGTGTGAGATAAGTACAACTTATATTAAAATGTCCAAATTTTAAACTTATCCTATCTCACGGCTTGCACTTATCCCACGGTTGGACGTCGGGCCGCAGATTACCCTTCTGTCTGGACAGTGCGAACAGTTGGTCTTGGAGCTGTGTGGACTGATGACAACCGTAGATAGCAATGTACAAGGGAGGCCTGTTACGCATGCACGCAACTCCTATGCTTGTAGTGGGTTCTCCGGAACCCCTTGGCTTACTAAGCACAACAACTCCCAGGGAGATGGGTGCTCCTGAGCGATCTGGTGTTCGGTCGCAACCTTGTACAAGACAAGGGACACAACTTGGCAAGTAGGCCTCGCCTCGCCATGATTTACAAGGTACCCCTGTAATTAAAGTCTTGTGACTAGAATCGGGCCAGCCCCTGCTTCAAGAAGGCCCCCCAGACACCGACCGAGGCGGGTGAAAGAGAAACACAACACGGCATCTCCAAGGTTTAACGTTCAGTTCCGGGCAGCATCAAATTTACCCTCACTCCTTTGCCTAAGCTTAGTCAAAGGATGTGCCCGGCAACTCCGGAGGCAGAACGCAACAAAATCCACTGGAATTCGTGAGTGTCACACTTCACTGACGTAATTGCTCCTTGGAGTAGAGGTCAGTAAGCGTGAATGTCGAACACCTCTGCATGATCATACTGATTGTGCCTCAGGTCCGTACGGCCACGCTAGGTGGCCATATTCCGATGCCTTGATATGGAGGCAAAGTGAAGTAGTTCTTAAACCCATATAATGAGAACAAAAGGTTGAGATCCAGTTCAACTTTTATTCATATTCAGTATATACAAGGAAGCAGTAACGCGAATGCAGAACCGTCCCTCATCTGCGTTGTTGGGCTGATGTAAGCTGCTGAGCCAGTACAAGAGGTCCGAACTGGTGTAGTCCCTGGACATCCGTGACAGACAGGTCTCGCAGGTAATGTGAAGAGAAGACTACATCAGAACGCCAGAAGCAACCTTCCATGATAGCGGTCAAGGAGCAGTTGCTATATGGAGGGCCATCGTCGAGGCTAGTGCACAAGTCTCATGGGGATTGGAAGCGGCTGGAGGAGGCAACCCTGCAATGGTGCAGGCTCGCAGGATCGTGGCACGCATCCAGAAGGCCAATGTGGTCCGGGAAACCTCAGTTCTTGAAGCGGTCGACAAGGGTATGAAGAAGCGCTTCCGTAGCCGTCGACGATCCTTGGAGGCAGCAAGGTAAACGTGTAGAGCCCTAACAGGGCAGAGTGTCAAATCTTCATTATCATCAGGGCCAGTCCGGTTGCCCTGGCAGTTGGTTTTTCGCAATGAAGTCCCAGCGGAGACCCAAGCCTTGCCATGCTTCTTCCGCTCGAACCGCACCCGATTGACATCAAGCGCATGCAGTTCAGATATAAGAGCAGCGGTAGCCAAAGCTACCAGGAAGAATGTCTTGAATGTCACTTGTTCGAAGTCCTTGTCCTCTAAAGGTTCATAGTCTGTAGAAATCATATGCCGAAGGACGACAGACAGATCCCAGGCCAGAGGTCTGAACTTCCTGGACTGGTCAGAGAGTCTATAGGAGCGTAATAGACTCTGCAACTCGGGAACAGTGTAAATCTTCGTGCCCGTGGTGGTAAGCTTAGTAGTGCGGAGATGCTGGAGAAACTCAGCAACGACCTGAGCTGGGGGATGCAATTTCCCTAACCTTGCAATAGTCTTCAAACTTCTTCCACTTGTTGTCGTACAAGGAACAGGTCGAAGTACGATGCGCTGAAGTGATAGCTGTGGCTACTTGGCGAGAGTAGCCCTTAGCTATGAGAGACCTCTGAAGATGCGCCAAACGTGTAGATTGAGGGTCTGATGTGACCCGTGGCGCAGTTCCGAGTGAGGGTGAAGAAGTAGGTCGTCCCGGTTGGAAAGTGGTACTGGGTTTGGCTCTGCCAGGCTTCTCAGGTTGACAAACCAACTTCTTGCTGGCCAGAAGGGTGCGACCAAAAGCAGTAGTATGTTGCTGGTTGCCAATAGTTCCTGTATTACTTTTGGCAGCAGAGCTGGAGGAGGGAACGTGTACGCATTGAGACCCTCCCATGATATTGCTAATCGCTCGAGGTCCCAAGCCAAGGAGTCTGGGATTGGTGATACGAACTTTGGAAGTTGGTTGTTGAACCTTGTGGCGAACTGATCTATTTGAGGCCGTGATAACGGGTAGATCATCGACTGAAAGATCTGGGGCAGTAACTTCCACTCTGTCACGGACGGTCGGTTGGATCGGGACAAGGCATCGGCGATCACATTTTTTACCCCAGGAATGTGTCTGGCTCTGGCTACGATGTTGACTGAGTCGATGAGATGGAAGAACCTGATTGCCCATTGTAGCAGATTCGCCAAGCCTGTCGAGCCTAGATGATTTATATACCAAACCACTGTCGAATTGTCTGATTGGATCAACAGACTGGTTGATTGAAGCTCTGTTGCCCAATGTGAGATGGCTTGAATTATCGCCTTGAATTCCAGCTCGTTTATATGCTCGAGGAAGTGAGCTCCCCAACCCATGTGGGATGCATCGACGAATAGGTGATGAGTCTGTGCAAAGGGCATCATAGAGATTCTGGCGCAAACATTCCGTTTGTCGAGCCACCATTGAAGGAATGGACGAAGCAGTTCTGGAAGGCAAATCAGTTCCTTGGGGTTGTCGGCCTGAAGGTACGGGCGTAGAAATCACTGTATCGGCCGAAGAATGGAGCTGGCCTCTGTACGTTAAGGCTTGAGGTGACGTCAGAAGGCCCAGTAGCTCCTGCCACTGACGAAGGTTCTTGCCTGAGACAGTGCTGGAGGAATGCATCGCTGAATCTTTATCCACATGTGTCGTGAGGGACGAACATCATCCCCTGATGAGTGTCGAACAGTGCTCCGATGAATTGGAGTCTCTGAGTCGGTATTAGTTCCGATTTTGCGATGTTCAACAGCAAACAACTGTTTGGGCAGCGTGGTGGTGAACTGTAGCTGGCGAAGCAATACGATCGGATCCTGTTGAGCCTGGATGCAATCATCTATGTAGCTTTTGAAGGTGATCCCGTGAAAGTGGAGGAAGCTTGTTATGGGCTTGGTAATTTGGGTAAAAAGCCATGGGGCCCCGGAAATTCCAAATGGTAGGACTTTCCATTGGTAGTGATTCCCCTTGAACACGAAGCGAAGGTACTTCTGGTGTTCTGGATGTATCGGAACGTGAAGATAAGCATCCTGAAGATACAGGCTGATGAGGAAGTCTCCCTTCTTCAGGATGGTGCATAAAAGGTTGATCGACACCATCCTGAAGTGAGGCGGTGGAAACAGGAATCGGGCTTTGAACAACTTCATATTGAAGATGAGCCGGAGTTTTGGAATTTTTCTTAGGAACCATGCGATGGGAGGAACCACCACGGCCAGATCTGTTTCCTCTGCCACGGCCTTGAGTGGATGCTCCCTGAAATAGATTGCGTAAAATCCGGATTGGTAGGGGTGTACTGTGTAGTTCGACACTGAGTCCTGGAGCTGTGACTTCTGTATCTTTAACATTTCAATCGAGACTTGAAAGTGGGTTTCTTTATCAACTTTAGTAGATACTTCTTGGATGCTGTCATTGAAGAGGGAGTCAGTAAACCATGGCTGGCGAAACAGTTCTGTTTTAAATTGCTCCTCCCATGAAGAGAACAGCAACGCCGGCGAAAGGCAAGAGTGTAGCCCCAAAAATGAGACAACTGATCCAGGATAATTTGGAACTGGTCCAGAGCTAAAGTCTCCTCGGATGTAAGCGTCTTGATCAGAGTAAGTATGCTCCAGAGCAGAGTTAACAGCGTCGACTGCTGCAATCACGCAACTAATAGATGGCAACGGCTGAATCCATGTGAGCCAACTCTCGGTCCTCAATAAGGTAAGGCGAAGCAGCTCGTTTGCCACACAGGGTTCCAATATCCTCATCAACTGTTGGAGCCGTAGAGATTTTTGTTAGGCCGTGGACATGAGAGGTAGAAGGATTATATCTGGGAGCAGAAAATCCGTCCTTAATTCGTTTCAGGCTCTTGAAACCATCATTTAGTGTACTGGATAATTTCAGAATACAAGGTCGAGGTGGAAGGGTAATGGTAGACCAATCCCGGTTCCTAAGAGTATAAGACTGATCCAGGTCATCTGCTGAAGTACTCAAGGGAAGTTGGAGCTTCTCAACAATCCAAAGGAGTACCTGAGGTGTCTCAACTGCTGCAAAAGCTACCCCCCTGGGGTAGATAACTCAGAGTGAGCGGGAGATGCAAGCATGGCTATTTGGACTGGATCAATCTCAGGAGGTGGACCAGATGAAGAGCCAGGTGCTACCGAAGCTGGATGGGCTGGAGTAGAAGGCTGTATTTGGTTCCAGGCTGAGGTTATGGCCCTGATCATCATATTTAGATCCTGTAGGAGTGGGATTGTTATCAGGTTCCCATGACTCAGTGATGATCCTAGAGTGAGTCGAAGGATTCTCAGAGAGTGAAGTTGGAACATTGTAAGAGACTGTAGGCCTATTAGTGGTATCAGAGCAATGATGACCCGAACGTCGGTCATTTAGGAACTGTATCGAGATCCCGACGTGGTAAGTACCGAAGTAGGTTGGTAAGCCGGTGATCTGGATTCCCTAGTATGGCTAGGTGATCCGGTATGATATGAAGAACTAGTCCCGGTCTGATCTGGTTCTGATTGGAGTTCTGGTTCGACCATCTGAATAGGATCGGCCATAAGATGTGGATCTGTACTGTGATCCCGATTGGTCAATGGCTCTGAAAGGTGATCTAGATCGTATAGGTGACCTGGGTTGGTAAGATGATCTGGATTGATTCAATGCACTAACTGGAAACTGTGATCGTGATCTGGAACGAGCAGGTGATCTGGTTTGCAGTTGCGATCTGGCTTGATTTGGTGATCTGGATGGGTTAGGTGATCTACTTTGATGTTGTGATCTGGATCGGTCTGGCGATCTACTTCGATGTTGTGATCTGGATCGGTTAGGTGATCTAGATCAGTCTGGTGATCTGATTCGAAGTTGTGATCTGGATCCATTCGGTGATCTGGATCAGTCCGGTGATCTGATTCGAAGTTTTGATCTGGATCCATTCGGTGATCTGGATCGATTAGGTGATCTGGATCAGTCCAATGATCTACTTCGATGTTGTGATCTGGATCGGTTCGGTGATATGGATCGGCTAGGTGATCTGGATCGGTCCGGTTATCTGGTTTGAAGTTGTGATCTGGATCCGTTTGGTGATCTGGATCGGTTAGGTGATCTGGATTGATCAAGTGATGTGGATCGTAGTTGTGCTCTGGATCGTGACTGTGATCTGGATCGATCTGGTGATCTAGATCGGGTTTGTGATGTTGATCTGGATCGTGAAGGTGATCTAGATCGTTGTGGTGATCTAGAATAATGTGGTGATCTGGATCGGCCATTAGGTGACGAAACCCGAAGTGTTGATTCATGATGAACGTCCCCCGGCGATGCTGTTGTAGCCAGCTCCGTCTGGTTCAATGAACTGTGGGGGGACAGTTGGCTGGTTGAACATGGTTGGCCAGGCTCCAAACAAACTGAGACAGTCGAGGGGATATGTACCGACGATCTGGATGATGATAGTGTCGATCTAAGGTCCCCTGGTAGTGTAGATGGGACAGGCAACAATGAATTATCGATCACAACCACCCGTGAGTGATCTGACACTATGGAAGGAGGTGATTGATGCGTACGTAATAGGTGCTGAATGTCCTCAGATAAGTAAGAATCTGATGAAGCATCCATAAAATCCACTTGAACCACAGACGTCGCTCTCTTGCGTGAAGGTCCGATTTTCTGTCGCTCTAACTTGATACACTTGACGGGAGTGGGATCAGATTCTGTTGATTTCCTGTCCCTATCGGCGATTCTCTGGGAGCAAACACGAAGGTAGGCCTTAAAATCCTCATATTTTAGTGAATTACACTTGCCACATCATTTGTTCCAGTTACATTGTCCAATACAGTCACTGAAAGACGAATGAGGGTCGAGTGACAAATAATTCGTCTTGCATTGAGGACAAACTTTCCTTTTCCTTGACTGATTATCTGTTTTCCCTATGATGTTAGGGTGAACTAATGTCCCTAATATACAGCACGTCCACACAGTCGTGCGTCAAGAAAGAGAATGATCATTCAAGGTAGTCACGTGGGCAATTAGTGGAGCATGCTGCAAGCTTTATTAGGAACTAGGAAGCTAATTAAGGAGAGCAGCATGGAGTGCACGGGCGAATGGACAAGGAGGCCTATGGGAAAAAGTTTACAGTCATTCCACTAAAAGTCGAAGCAAGCGAGAGAGAGGTGCAAGTCGTGAGATGGGATAAGTTTAAAAATTAATTTTTCTAGAGACTTCAAGATGCCTCTATTCAATCAACACCAATACACAGGTCACTGTTATATTTCAGCACTCAGCAGATCGCAGACCTGTAGTCCAGCGTATACACAACCGTGAGTTAGCCACTGCCTTGGGGTACACATATCTGCATATCATCCTACTTCAACTGAAAGCTCATGGGAGGAACACAAACATTTTGACACACCAAAAGAAAATATTTGTTCTCCACATATTTTGTTTTAAATATTTTCTAAAGGGTAATAAAATGAAAAGACAACAATGTCATGCCTAGTTCCTTCCATAATCATGAAAACAGCCATAACCAAATTTAGATGATAGTTTGCATACATTAGACATCTTGTGCTCTCAGAAGGTAAAGAAACAGTAGCATTTCATACCATTTCAAACACACTTCCACTACTCACTATCTTAAATCTCTAACACAGTCAAACACGATAACAAAATGAGTTGAACCTGTGAGGGAATCTTTGATTGTAACTGACATTATCTCCACCATATAACTAGAACATGTGAGAACTGTGAACATGACACCCAAGAAATTCATGGTGCTTCATCTAAGGTGCTGTTGGGGCGGTGGGGTAGCCGGGTGGATATAGCGTTCACTTGTCACGCCGAAGACCTGGGTCAGATTCCCCACATGGGTACAATGTGTGAAGCCCATTTCCGGTGTCCCCTGCCATGATATTGCTGGAATATTGCTAAAAGCGGCATAAAACTAAACTCACTCACTGAGGTGCTGTTTATACGATGTACCACTGGGAAGTTATTCAAGCTTATGTTATAAAGTTACTGCCAGAGCCTGTGTGGTACCTGTGAGTGCCAGGTGGAGGTGAGATGGTCGTAGAAGTCCGTCATCCACACCAGCGCAGTGTCGTCTTGCTTTGTCTCCAGGATGTCCTTCCAAGCTTGTAGCAGCTGTTGCTGTTGCCAAGATACAACGACGATCAATGATGAGGTCAAGAAAATTCTTGGTTCTCTTAAATTCAAGAAATTCAGACGAAACACAATGAATGAAAGTTACTTCCTGTTTTATCCCATGGTAGTTTATTGGATCATGCCTTACTTCATATCAATTTAAGTGCATAGGCAGGAAAAAACAGCTCTCCTTGCCACAGGGCTGACTTCCATAATCAATTCTGCATAAATTCAAAAACATAATTTGTTCAAAATTTTGATATTTGCATTGTGACCTTGTCAGACACTGGTGAACTTGACCTACCTTGTGACACTTGTGGTAGTATTTGTACAGCTGGGGCAGACGGTCAATGTTCTCGAACATCTTCGTGTACATCTGGGCAGATTCTGCAGCAGCAAAGCATCATCTTTCAAACACTCAACACACACGATCACAGATTTAACCTAAGAACCAGCTGCCACCAGCTGAGAGTAGGTCATTACAAGACTAACTTAAGGCTGCCACCAGGTGGGAGTAGGTCATTACAAGACTAACTTAAGGCTGCCACCAGGTGGGAGTAGGTCATTACAAGACTAACTTAAGGCTGCCACCAGGTGGGAGTAGGTCATTACAAGACTAACCTAAGGCTGCCACCAGCTGAGAGTAGGTCATTACAAGACTAACCTAAGGCTCCCACCAGGCGGGAGTAAGTCATTACAAGACTAACCTAAGGCTGCCACCAGGCAGGAGTAGGTCATTACAAGACTAACCTAAGGCTGCCACCAGCTGAGAGTAGGTCATTACAAGACTAACCTAAGGCTGCCACCAGCTGAGAGTAGGTCATTACAAGACTAAGGCTGCCACCTAAGGTCTGCCACCAGGCTGAGAGTAGGTCATTACAAGACTAAACCTAAGGCTGCCACCAGGTGGGAGTAGGTCATTACAAGACTAACTTAAAGGCTGCCACCAGGTGGGAGTAGGTCATTACAAGACTAACTAAGGCTGCCACCAGGTGGGAGTAGGTCATTACAAGACTAACCTAAGGCTGCCACCAGCTGGGAGTAGGTCATTACAAGACTAACCTAAGGCTGCCACCAGGAGGGAGTAGGTCATTACAAGACCTTAAGGTGGGGTAGGTAGGCTGCCAACTGAGGCTGCCACCAGGAGGGAGTAGGTCATTACAAGACTAACCTAAGTAGAGTAGGTCATTACAAGACTAACCTAAGGCTGCCACCAGGCCGGAGTAGGTCATTACAAGACTAACTTAAGGCTGCCACCAGCTGAGAGTAGGTCATTACAAGACTAACCTAAGGCTGCCACCAGGCGGGAGTAGGTCATTACAAGACTAACCTAAGGCTGCCACCAGGTGGGAGTAGGTCATTACAAGACTAACCTAAGGCTGCCACCAGGTGGGAGTAGGTCATTACAAGACTAACTTAAGGCTGCCACCAGGTGGGAGTAGGTCATTACAAGACTAACCTAAGGCTGCCACCAGGCGGAGTAGGGAGAGTAGGTCATTACAAGACTAACCTAAGGCTGCCACCCAGGTAGGGAGGCTGCCACCAAGCGGGAGTAGGTCATTACAAGACTAACTTAAGGCTGCCACCAGGAGGGAGTAGGTCATTACAAGACTAACTTAAGGCTGCCACCAGGTGGGAGTAGGTCATTACAAGACTAACCTAAGGCTGCCACCAGGTGGGAGTAGGTCATTACAAGACTAACCTAAGGCTGCCACCAGGTGGGAGTAGGTCATTACAAAACTAACCTGAGGCTGCCACCAGAGTAGGTCATTACAAGACTAACCTAAGGCTGCCACCAGGTCATTAACAAGGACTAATGCTGCCACCTTGAGGCTGCCACCAGGCGTCATTACAAAACTAACCTAAGGACTGGCTGTTGCCAATGAGTAAGGTCCACCTTAAGGCTGACCCAGGAGGGTAGGTCATTACAAGACTAACCTAAGGCTGCCACCAGGTGGGAGTAGGTCATTACAAGACTAACCTAAGGCTGCCACCAGGTGGGACTGGTCATTACAAGACTATGCTGCCACCAGGTGGGAGTAGGTCATTACAAGATTAACTAAGCTGTCACCAGGAGGGAGTAGGTCATTACAAGACTAAGGCTGCCACCAGGCGGAGTAGGTCATTACAAGACTAACCTTAAGGCTGCCACCAGGTGGGAGTAGGTCATTACAAGACTAACCTAAGGCTGCCACCAGGTGGGAGTAGGTCATTACAAGACTAACCTAAGGCTGCCACCAGGTGGGAGTAGGTCATTACAAGACTAACTTGAGGCTGTCACCAGGACGGGAGTAGGTCATTACAAGACTAACTTGAGGCTGTCACCAGGAGGGAGTAGGTCATTACAAGAATAACCTAAGTTTGCCACCAGGTGGGAGTAGGTCATTACAAGACTAACCTAAGGACTGGCTGTTGAATGCTGCCACCAGCTGAGGACTCAATAGGGCTTCCAGACGGTTTTTGAGTTTCTCGAGGTGCTGACATCGTGAGGCATAATCAGGGGTGTCCACCAACATTTGCTGTGAACAGAAGAATAAGTGAGTTAGATGGGTGTTGATAAAGACACCCACCCACCAAAGTGAACGTAGTAAATGTATGAGCAAATGAGGAAATATGGATGAAACTCACAGACAAATAATGTTAGATGGGTGGTGACACATAACCACCACATAACCACCATCTAAGCAGAAAGACAATTTGACATATTATTGCTTAAAGTGTTCATCCTTAGCTAACTTTGAGCAGTATGATCAAGTTACCCTGATTACTATGACTTTATTTGGAGAACTCTAACTGTCACATCATGTCTTGAAGATAGCCACCAGAAGAGATACTCACCAAGCTTTGCTGCATGCCACTCAGTTTGGAAGTGATCTGCAATGATAAGCAAATTTGACAGTTTAGATTGGTCGAATTAGGCATTTAGTTTATCCAATATAACCACTTCTGCACATAAGTAAATAGATGATTTGACATTGTTTTATCTTATAAAAATAAACAAAAACACAAAAGATCTAACAAAGGGAGAATATGGAATGTTAGCAAACTAACTAGTTTACTACTGCTGACTACTGTTCACTACTGCTACAGGAGATGAACTGACCGTCTGTATGTCCTGGGACTGGAAGACGTCCTCCACATCGGCGCTCAGTGTTGTCCAGTTGTCTGCCTCCTGCAACACAGCATCAGTGTGATGTAATACTACAGAAATAAGAATGATACTGAACATGTGACAACAAACATTACAATACCATCCAGGACTTTCACAGAGATTGCTGAACAGATGACACAGTAGTGCATACCTTGAGAGCATCTGCTGTAGTCTTCATCCGGGACTTGATGGAGTCCAGCTTCAGCAGGGTCTGCATGGACTGGGCAGTGTTCTGTTCCACCTGCAACACATCAATCATATGGTTCCTATCAACTTATCTCTTGATCATTTTTCTCATTATCTAATTCTATTCATTACTAGGTTTTCACATCATTTTTAATGGCATTCTTTAAATGTTCCTACAAATATTACAGATTATACCCCGTATATCAAGGACTTAAAGTTTTTGGATGGATTGATTTGACAGCACCTTCTGGATGTCCTGTTTGACTGTTCTACACTGGACACTCACCTTCTGGATGTCCTGTTTGACTGTTCTACACTGGACACTCACCTTCTGGATGTCCTGTTTGACTGTTCTACACTGGACACTCACCTTCTGGATGTCCTGTTTGACTGTTCTGCAATAGACACCTACCTTCTGGATGTCCTGTTTGACTGTTCTGCAATAGACACCTACCTTCTGGATGTCCTGTTTGACCTTCTGATTCTGTTTGACTGCAATAGACACCTACCTTCTGATGTCCTGTTTGACTGTTCTGCAATAGACACCTACCTTCTGGATGTCCTGTTTGACTGTTCTGCAATAGACACTCTACCTTCTGGATGTCCTGTTTGACTGCAATAGACATCTACCTTCTGGATGTCCTGTTTGACTTCTGGATGTCCTGTTTGACTGTTCTGCAATAGACACCTACCTTCTGGATGTCCTGTTTGACTGTTCTGCAATAGACACCTACCTTCTGGATGTCCTGTTTGACTGTTCTGCAATAGACACCTACCTTCTGGATGTCCTGTTTGACTGTTCTGCAATAGACACCTACCTTCTGGATGTCCTGTTTGACTGTTCTGCAATAGACACCTACCTTCTGGATGTCCTGTTTGACTGTTCTGCAATAGACACCTACCTTCTGGATGTCCTGTTTGACTGTTCTACACTGGACACCTACCTTCTGGATGTCCTGTTTGACTGTTCTCATCTGGTCCTGCAGCAGGGAAGCCTCTTGTCTCACTGCGTCCACTTCACGCATAACTCTGAATGTCCAAAACTTTGTATTAACCCAATCATTTTGGTACATTTTTGTGCAATTAAAAAGCATATATACTAGGAAAACAATATAAAATCATGAACCTTATACGACTTTCAGATAAACATTACTTAACAACTTCCCTCATCAATGAAAGCTATGGGTTAGTTAGGTCATCTTGGGTCATCTTGGTGATGAGCAAGTTTGTATCACAAAATGTCTTGCCAATAATGTTTACAGCTGAGTTACAGTTTCTAGAGTGAGTGATGCACTGAACAACATCCCAGTTAATACTATTAAAACTCGCCTAACCTTGATTCATGGATATAAGGGAAGTGCGGCGGAATTCATATTTTAAATGCATGATTTCATTTTGTATACGCACTGATTATTTTATGCAAAGATTCAGCAAATTGAAAATGCCTACCCCTAATATTCCACTCGTGAATGAAAGGTTTGTTTACGGAAGCAATTTGCAATCATCACCCATCCATGTGCCCACAAAATGTGATGTCACCTTGTTTCGTGGATTACGTAGTCGGTTACTTTATACCACTGTGTACGACATCCCACTGCAGTAAGTATTGACACCAAGGAAAGCAGAATATGAGAAGTGAGAAGGTTGGAGCAAACGATATCTTTTTTACTTGACATTTTGTACAAATAAAATTTGGCAATGGTGGTATTAGTGATCTGGGGCTATTTATCTCAATGCTGGACAATTACATTTAGTGTACTTGCGTGTAATGCAGAAATTCGGAACTTTTTGTCAGCGAGGTGTGGCATTGTATGTACATCAAAAGTACCGCTTTGTGGCGTCAGTCGAGACTTAATTTACAAGCTAGCATAATAATTTCCGCGATCCACGAATCAAGGTTATCCACGAATTTAGGTTACGGTTCTGTATCATCCTGTACATACTGGAGGCCCAGACTGGCAAACCAATGACTGAAATCATGAGCAATTATTTACAATATGGGCTACAATGACACTCAAACAACCAGGCCACAGAGTCTGAACACTACGTTATTTAGGTCTGATGATAAACAAGGGATACTGTGGACCCATTCTGACCCAGACACCCTCATGTATGTTTATTTGATGTGTGTAAGTATTGCATGGTTCATGTCATCACCTTGGCAGATTCTGCAGTGCCTGTTGACCAGCCTCTTCCAGAATGTTGTTCACCTCCTGCAAAATCATATACACGTTAAGTCAGGTGAGCCAAAACAGAGACAAATGGTTTGGGGTTGGGGGCAGAGGATTACAGTCAACCACGAAACCAGCAACAATCTTCCCACAAATGTACAAGTGATGGCCACAGCCAGTTTAATTCTAGCCACATCAAGGCTGACCGTGAGCAAGTGAGTGAGTGCGTTGGGTTTTACACCACTTTTAGCAATATTCCAGCTATATCACGATGGGAGACACCAGAAATGGGCTTCACACATTGTACCCATGTGGGGAATCGAACCCAAACACGTGTGACAAGCAAACACTTAAACTACTGGGCTACCCCGCTGCCCCATGGGGGCTGTGGAAGCATTACAGGGCACATCAGAGAGGGGGAAAGTTTGAGACTTACTTGTATAAACATCTGTAGCTTCATCACCAGGGTTGTGGCATACTGCTGTAAGTTGGAACAGGGAATGGTTAGCACTGTCAGATATACTCACACATTACATATTTCTATAGCTGAACTTCCACAAATGTTAAGGACATCTTTTACTTTAATATTATTACTGATTAAGGCATGTCTGAGGCACTGCATACTTGACTGGCATAACTTTAGATCTAAGATATCTAAATTAAGATAATCCTGCCTATCATGATAACAAAATTGACAACAAATCATATCATCAGACACATCAAATGACCTCTGCTTTTAGAAGATGCATAATTGGTATGTTTTGCCTGCAAATACCCTTTCCGAATCCTTCTTCAACATATATACACAAATACACTGTCTGACACTCAGCTATGTATGTAATGTTACCTTTTCATTTTAACTCATTCAACAATTCACATATTCTACTTAAAGTAACCATTAATGAATAATTTCTGTTTTAACAGGATTGGTAATTTGTAAACATCAAGAGACCTTGCATTAGTCTGGACTTACGCCTTTTTTATAGTCACAGTCCACTGAGATACCCTTCCGCAGTTCAACATGAATTCCCCACTCAAATACAGTATACTGACTCTGAGCCCACTTGTCGTTGTTTCATCCCCTTAATTCCAAGTGCCAGACATTGTATCAACAAGAACCCTCTATCTACATTTTCTAGTATGATGTGGAAGACAAACAAAATCCAGATGTTCAACTTTGAGCGGATGAAACTGACCTGAATGAAACTAGTAGAATGAAATGACCTGGAACCGTCAAGACCACAGAAGCAGTCAAATTTCTCATTGAGCAAATAGATGTAAGTTTGAATATTTAATTTCATGTGTGAGAGACATGTGGTATTAACCTAAGTTGCTGTGGCGATCTAATTGGTATAATATCTAACAGACATAACGACAGGTTTAAAATAGCTGTATTAACTATCTGCACAATAAACATTCCAAAACCCATAATCATTGTTTCACACACAAACTCAGTTGAACTATCAAGGTTACTCACATCTTTGGGTGTGCCAGGATCTCTATGAGTCTGAAAGGCTTGGTTGACCCATTCTTTGGCATCAAAATTATCATCCATAAACTTTGAGTAATCCTGAAAGAAGCACCAAATATCACTGTTTATAGCAGCACACATATGGCAATATAAAAGGTACAACACAGAGATGGTTCATGAGAAGTGATTAGTGTCACACTAGGGTGACAAATTGAATTTACATTACATGAATTGAGACAAGAGGTTAATATAATCACTATGATTCACACACAAATGTAATAATCTCTTCAATATCAACACTTTTACAAGGTTGTAACACTTCTTCAATATCAACACTTTTGACTTAAGACCACAGGTTGTTGACACTTATTCATAAGTGAAAGCAAAATTCCTGGATTAACATGAAATTAACAATGTAATTTCTCTGATGATATCATTACACAGGACTGTTCACATCGGTAAAGTGACAACATTTCTGCAATACACCTACAACACTGTATGTAGTGTAGGAAACTACTGCCCGTCCGAACGCTCGAGACGGGTTAATTCTGGCAAAAAATAAATCTTACCAGCTTGACAGTCGGGCTCATATTTTATGTGTAATCATGAGAATCTTATTTGTGAGACTGCTTTTGTAACAATAACACTTGAGATGTATTAGTTGAGATTCCTGTGATATTACACATTTTGCAACAATAAGACTTAGTGTGTTAGTGATAGTGCTGAGCATTAATTTTGACTGAAGTTTGTCATTGTTCATATTTAACAGTTTCACAGCACTGTGAATGTGACAGTTCTTATAACTTATAGCATTTTAGAAGTTGTGAAGATGAAGGAAAACTAAGTTCTATGGATAGTCAACTTCTTTATTGCAATGAGTGCGACGTTTCGGTGTATGTACTAACACCGTTATCAAGCAAGTGATACAACAATTTGAAACAAGGAGAATATATACACTGCTGCATAGTGAGTATATACAATTAACAAGGTTGATAATTTAATTTCACATTTCAGCTCTGCAATAATAAATTAAACGAATCAAAGAACTTATTTGGTCTGTCAACTTTTGGGAAGGGCTGGTAAGTTTTCAGAGTTACCAGTTCTGGTGTCTGGTAGAATTTTCTGTTAAAGGTCACATGCAACGTAAAACACAACTTTGCAGATTCTGATACCTTTCGGTATGGACTTACAGATACAAATCATCAAAAATGCAATTCAACTTATAAAGTTGAAAAATAACGCGATGAAACCCCCCCTGCAAAATCGGTGTTCAAACGATTCACTAAATTCACCCCAGCGTTTGGGGTGAAAAGTGGTTTCAACAGCTGGGCTGCGCTCATAGCGCATGCGCAGTGAAATAGGTTTGCGCAGCTTGGAAGCGGGATGTCCGGATTTAATATAAGGTCGTGAGCAGGAGTAATCAAAACAAATAGCAAATAGTCTACTCATGACATAAAAGAACCTTGTTAGGATCTAGATCTACTCAGCTATGTGTCAAACAGTGAGGCGTTTGACATTTCAAGATGGAAAATCTTCGCTGGAGGTGAATACTCGGTGAAGCTGAAGGCTTTGATGTGAGTGTTGTGATCACGTGGCTTCCTAGTTATATACTGCCTGTCACAAGCAGACGACTGATCTTACTGAATTTTCGCTTTCTATTTCTTGTTCTATAGGCAGTTGATTTTGCATCTGAAGTGATATTACCGATCACGGGTAAATAAGTTTCATGTTTGTTTGCTTTATATATAACTTAACTTCCGGATTTCAATCGTCAATAAAAGTTCTCAAGACTGACACTGGTCATCCGGCCTGCCGATGAAATTGCTTGTGCACTCCGATCGCGCATGTACTCCCCCGATATAGAGCGAGCAATGCAATTGTCGAAATCACCAGAACGTCGAATTCAGCTTATTTTGGGATACTCTTAGATATACATGTATAGCAGACTCATGAAGATCTGGGTTAGAATCGGTCTCCAGCAATCCATGCTTGGCGTAAGAGGCAACTAACAGGATCGGGTGGTCAGACTCGCTGACTTGGTTGACACATGTCATTGTATCCCAATTGCACAGATCAATGCTCATGATGTTGAGCACTGGATTGGCTGATCAGGATTCGATTATGTACAGACAGCTACCATACAGCTGGACTATTAATGAGTGTGGCGTTCAACAAGAAACAAACAAAACTAAGAGCATGCAGAGACAATATACCGTATATGGTCTCTGGAGCATGTAAGCTGGTGAATGAATGTTGTGTTACGCTCATCAGTAAAATTTGAATTCAGCAGCATATAGAGCTTCTGGCTCTGCTACAGGCTGTGGCTCTCATTTCCCAGATCTCACTGCTCCTTCAAGTTCAACACATAGGTTCAGTGTACAGTCTGTAGGTGGTAACCCCCAACTTAATACTAAGGGTGTGTCCTTAGCCCTCTGATCCACTTTCAGATCACGCCTTCCTTTAAAATCCTAAGAGTTGTGCATTCAATCACTTAGCGCCGCGACAGGTAAACTGCAACTTTGAAGTCAGAAGTGATTTCACATTGACAAAATGCAGTGACAGATATTTGTAACATCCCTGTGCAGTGGAGAGATTGCAGTGAGGACAGGCTAAGCGCTAGTAGTTGAGGTGGCAGTAATAACTTATGTTAGTGATCAGCTTTGTTATACAATACCATAGTAGTCTGGTTTATTCGACTGACGATTCACGGAAGATACAATCAGTTTGACCAATGTTCAGCAGCACACGTCGACAGTGTTTACATCGGCCATGATGCCGTCCAAGGGAGGTAATTCACTTCCTGAAGGTAAGCGGTGTCTCTTTCAATGTACGTTGTACTGGATTCTAGGTCTCAACATGAGCAGGTTGATCATAATGCAGTAAATATATAGTATTGGAAACCATCAAGGGGAAACGTGTTTTTATTCAAAAGGAGAAAAATACGATGATAAATTAATATGATAATAAGATCATATACCAGACCTAAAGAACAATTTAAAAGTCAGCAGAAGATGGCAAATCCCCGGACCCCACAAATTTGAAAGAACAAATCATATGACAGTTACATAAAGTCCAACTTGATTTTTTGGACTAAGTCCAATTCAATTGCATGGAAATCATGAAAAATATAAATGCCAAAAATCTGCAAATAGCAAAAGGCACCACTTTACTTTCTTAAGTGGCATTTAGAAGCTGGTATGATGAAGTGGAGCACTATTGATGGATAGACAACTTCTTTGTTGCAGTAGTTGTGACGTTTCGGTGTAGATCCTAACACCGTTATCAAGCACCACTTTAGGTTCTGTTTCATATATCTACCAAGTTTTGTTGAAAGATATTGAACGGTTTTCGAGGTGTGCTCCGGAAACGAAGCCCACTTCTCCCTTTTGAGACTAAGTCAAAACGTTTCCATGGAAACCAAGAAAAATAAAAATGACAAAAATCTGTAAATAGCAAAAGGTACTACTTTAGGTTCTGTTTGTTATATCTACCAAGTTTTGTTGGAAGATATTGAATGTTTTTTTAGTTATGCTCCGGAAGCAAAATGATTACAGACGGCCAGACAGACGAGGCGTCGACTAATAAAACGTGTACAATGTACGTTTACTCACTGTTTACTGGTATTTTCGACGGTCGGTGGTGTGTTGAGAGAAAAATAAAGGGACTGAACTCTTTGTCCCAACGATGACCCATGGGCCATGATTTGCGAAGCTTTTGTAGTCTCCCGTTGTACTATAGGGCCCGTAAGTAGGTCACGGCACTTCGCGAGAGATTACGTTGTTTAGTTCTTCCGGTGACAAACAACGTTTTTCGGCAATGGCGATAACACTGTTACATTGGGTATGCCGTGGATAATCATACTCGACACTGGCTGTGTGAATCATAAACCTATGCCATGTAACAGACTATGGACTGCTAAAGCACTAAGGCAATGTTGCATGAACAGCACGTGAATATTTGCCAAACAGATGCAGAGTTGTCACAGCGTCGTCTTCAGGCTGGCCCATTCATTAGTCGAGGTAAGTTTGTTACATGGATTTCTTTGTTTTCATTTAAAGGCTGGTATTGTTTAAGCATGGCACGCACAGTAAGGGTGGAGTTGACATGTGTGCAGATTAGTTAATCGTTTGATTGCATTTGATATCTTTCAGTGGGATTTTATTGTCCCCCGGAGAGGGGACCTAATAAAATATGACAGGCATGTATCCGGTATAATGCATGTGTACCCAAAAAACTGTGTTAATAAATAAAGTATCTTGCAGTTGGAATTATCCAGAAGATAACTTAATGTGCAATGAAAATCCAGGTGTAATTCTAAAAAAATAAATGTAATGAATTAAATAATAATTTAATAGTGCGTAAACAATGATGATTATATCCACACTTTGATTGATACCAATAGCTCTGAATAGGTGTCTCTCACAAATGTATTCTGTAATATGAGCTTGATTAATATATTATTACAACCCCATTTAGCATTTGGTTATGGTGCAGCATGTTCAGTTAAACATAACATCCACATGCTTAATTTATCAATAATATCTTGATGTCAACATTGTAAGGAACTGTTTTAGTGTTTACATTTTATTAAGTATATCATACTTGGTCTAACGTGTGTTATGTATTTTTTTCAGTTGGAACAGATGCACATCTTTAAGAGGAGAAAGAAGGAGGAATAGATTTCTTTATCACCACAATTACCATTGACATCAAGAGCAACACAAACTGAAACAGATCTTCAGATTTCTTTTAACATCTGGTGGTCAAGCAATATACATTGCAATGAAGAAACAGCAAGTCATTGAAATGTTGTATGTACAGTTATAAAACATATTAAAGCCCTACGCATCATCATCCTTTGGAAACTTGCTGGAACAGGAAATGCTTGTAACCAGCAAGGTGTTTTGGAAAGTCTTGTGACATCTTGGGACTCTCAGATAATTCAGTGAGAATTTAGATGAGTGACCATGAAAGAACATTTGTATTCCAGATGATACTGTTACAGTATTTTTTTCAGGTTTAGCATCTGGGAAATGCAAAGAATGTTTGATATGTTATGAGTAATTATGTCTTTGGAATAAACTTGCAGAATAGTTCTAAAACTTGTTTATTGTTTTTTAAGTGTGGATAAAGCAAGCACAAATTGAATGGTTTGGAAGATTTCTGCTTTTAGCCATGATATTGATTTGACAGTAAATATACAACGATGGATGTAGGAGATTAGATTTTCAGTGTATATAGCAAAGGTTTCCAAGTGAGAGAGTTGGGTTTTACACTACTTTTAGCAATATTCCAGCAACATAATGCTTGGGAGAGCAGCAATGGGCTTCACACTTTTTGCACACATGTGGGGAATCAAACCCGGGCCTTCAGTGTGACGAGTGTCAACAGTTTAACCACTAGGTTACCCTACTACTCCAGTTTCCATGAAAAAACATGCTTTCAAATGAAAAGTTAAACTTAATCAATGGCATAGGCATGTGATTCTACATGACATGGAATTTTGTTGAAATATGAAATTCTTTGTTTTTATTTGCTGTAAGATTACAACACTGGTTCATAGCACAATAACCAGTACACATTATTCTTTTCCATTATTTTAAAACATATTGGTCTAACTGTATAGTGGAAAATATGGAATGCCAGTTACCAACCTTGGCCTCATTGGCAGAATATTTGGAATATGTAAGTTACTAAATATGGGTGAAAAACACTATATTACATGACAAGTAGTCATACTCATGCTGCTATCAGCCAGTGTCTGCAGAATCTACAGTCATGACATAGTATATATGCACATTTAGTTTCCCCATGTATTGATCAGTATATTTTACAATACAGGAAATGTCTTTGAGTGATTACTCCAAATTTTGAGTGTATTTGGTCTTGCATTTTTTGCCAATTGTGACTTGAAGGTGCTGTGTGCTGCTTCATATTTTGCTTACAGCATAGCAGAACCTCACCCCTGCATAACCAAGAACTAAGTAACACTCATGTACTTTAGATCATAGTACATTGTACACTCACTCCAAGACATCCAGTACAAAGTGTAATAAATATTGTGCAACAACCAGTTTTTATAAATCACTTCTATAATAATGTTTACATAATTTGATAAATAATTGCTTCATGATGAATATTCATATGCCTGAGGGTTTTCACATTTTTCTTTTGAATATCTGACAGTAGTAACCGAAATAATTGTAACCATGCCATCAAGGTTATTTTGTCGAGCTGTTGATTGATTTGTGACACTATGACTTCTTGTGTGAATCAAAACGTCACCATAAATGGGAAAGTTCATATAAAAAAAATTATAATGTTACAAGAACTGCTATTTATACCAGGCATTGGGAAAGACAGTGGCCATTTTGAACATTAGAATAAAAATGCCCCATTAAAATTTTGAAGTTTACTATTGATACAAGGGCAGTGGCCCATTCTAAATTCAGAAAATGGCTAATAATCCTGAAAATGTCGAAGGTCTCCATCCCAATCCCTGTATTCAATATATCATTATCAGTATATTTACAGCATGGCAAAGAAACAATTTGACACATGCAGATCCCTGTCATCTATCCAAAGTATAATTTATAATGCATTTTCTTTCACATTTGCAAAACAACAAACAATTTATTTCATGTATCTTTGAGTCATTCTGTCACCTGAACTGGCATAAAGTCATCCCTTGGACTTGGAAAGAGTAAAATTATTAAGCCTACCAACTAGTTTACAAAGTATTTATATTAGTACCTCAAGTATTTATACACATGCATTTTACATTGCATAAAGCCAATTGTCGCTATTGAATATTTTGTAACTATTCCAAATTAAAAACTATTTTGTACATATCAATATTGATATTTGTTAGAAACTATTTCCTAACAAATATAAATATATTGAATATGTACAAAATAGTATTTAATTTGGAGTAGTAACAAAATAGTGCTGAAGCAGAACAAATGTATTTAGAAAATAAATAACAAATTAAACAAACAAAAATATTCTAATTTGGAATTACATACTTTTATTGAAAAGGGAAATGACAGAGTCAATGTGGCCAAATATGAATAGAACATCAACTTGATAAAGTTGGTAACACATGGCTGTTTTATGAATTGCAGTATATTAATTAATAGTTTTATTAATTCAATATAAATACATATTACTCAAATGCATTTTACGTTAACCATGTCATTGATTCCCGAAATATGTTTTGTGACAAACACTGTCCGCGATACTGAAAAGAAACACGTTTAGCGATAGAACTGCACTGGTTGTCAAAAAAATATATTATAGCTAAAGAAAGGTACTCATATGGTTTCGAATTGACTCATGGTTGTCGGTTGTCAGTAAGGAACCGATAATCCTTGAAGGAATAATAATTTTCGATCTTATCGTCCCCAAATGATCCAATTATCACGACTGTCACCAGCTGTGACAGCCAAGTCATAGGCGGTCGCGTAGTACACTTGGTCCGGTCTAGTAAGGTCATCATTAGGCGGTCGCGCAAAATTTGGCACCACAACTGGTTCTTGCGTATTCGCTTGTCACCGGAAATCTAGTAGCAGCCTAGCTGCCTTTAACAATACATGTGTGTTACCACCCTGGACTGGGACAACACCAAATTCTAAGAACCACAAATCACAATGTGCAGCCGTGTTCACTCGTATAAACATTTTATATTTTGCAAAACGCGTGGATAGGGCATTAGTTATAAAACTTATAGTATACACTGATACAAATATGCACTCTTGTCAATGCATAATTTCAACA